GAGCACAGGGTGTGTTTGCATCTTCTTGGGAAGGGTCAGCGTATAGGCTAAGCCTTTCTTTCTTATGACCTTAAAGGGTCCAACTAAGCGTGGACGTAATTTGGTTTTATATACTGCCGAAACGACACGAGTAGGTAAATTCCTAGCGTTTAATACAACCAAATCTCTCACTTTGAACTCGTGTTTGTTCGTTTTGCCTTCGGCACTGCTGCTTGTTTCTTTTAAACACCCTGGCTTTCAGCCATAGTGTCTGTGACGCGACTTAATACGTCAAAACGCTTTGACAGAAACGCTTCCACCTTCTTGCGAATCGCAACAGGGCTGATATCATCCAAGCCTTCGGGTATCTCTCCCCCACTAAGCCCTGATGTGGCAGGGGTAGCGTTAAAGGAACGCGAGGGTTGACCAAAGCATTCACGTACAATGGGCTGAAGCCTGTCGATGTATGCACCGCGTTATTCCCCCAACGCGAACTCAATGAGTGGGATCATCGTGGTCCATTTCTTGGGTGTTTCAGCACATACACTCCGAAGCATATCACCAATAACGCGATTCATGCGCTCGGTCTGACCATCGGTCTGCAAATGATCCGCCGTGGACATGCCCAGTCGAGCGTCCAGCACTTAAATCTAAAATTTACCGGTCTCTATCAAAGACAATTGCCACAGGCAATCCATGTTGTCAAAACACACGATCCATGAAGAGCGTAGCTGTTCCTTCTACCATCGATGGAGTCCGGCACTGTCGCTAAGTGAGCGATCTTGCCCAGTCGGTCAACAAAGACCACAATCTAAGTGTTGCCTGCCGCATCATGCGGTAGGCCAAACACAAAGTCCATACTAATGAGCTGCCACGACCCAGAGGGTACAGGCAAGCTCGCCAAAGGCGCAGCCATACTAGGCGAGTGTTTTACCCTTTCACACGTTTCACACGTGCGCACATATGTCTCACCCATTTATACAGCTTGAGACACCAATAATGGGTACTCACCGAGCTGTAGGTCTTTTCACGACCTACATGGCCGAAGTGGTGTGTCATGGGCCTCATAAATTATCTGATACTTGAGGTTCTCATCATGAGGTACCGGCTGGTCCTCCGACCCTGCACCATAGTACATTGGAGAATTGGCCAATGCATAGCAATTTAATCGCGCACTATTAGGTGGTGATAGCTTCACCTTAGTGTGCTCAAACTCAGCGCTGACCAGCGCCTGGAGCATTGCAACACATGCCTCATCGCGTGCATACGCCACACAAATACGATCCGTTACTGACGAACTCACAACAGTGAGATGAGCAAGCTTATTGTCAAGTCTACGCGATAACGCGTCATCGAAAACATTCTGTTTTCCCGGCTTATACTTTACCTCGAAGTTATACTCCGCAAAAAAGGAGAGCCAACGAGCCATAATCTGAGAAAGATAAGGCGACTGTGTCGCCGTGCGTAACGACGAATGATCGGTATTCACCACAACGGCTTATTTGATCCGAACAGATGTATCCTAAAATAAACAAGGGCATACTTCATCGCAAGTAGCTCCTTGTCATGAACTGGATAGTTCTTCTCTGCAGCTTTCAGCTGACGAGACTCAAACGCGATGACGAGCTCTCGACCCTCAGAGTCAAATCGTAGTAGCGCACTGCCAATAGCAAAGCGTCACACACGACGCTAAAAGGACGATCAGGATCAGGCAAAGTCAGAATTGGTACCTGAAGGAGACTCTCCGCAATTTAAAAGACTCGTGGTGCTCGGTGCTCCAACACCTTTTCACATCATTTTAAGGAGAATTGACAAGGCCTATCTACTTCCGCATCGTTATGACTATACTTATGTAAGTAAGTTACCAAATTTAAAAATTAAAAATGATCACTTTGGCTCCGCAGAACCGGCCAATCCACTATAGCTTTGACCTTGACAGGGTCTGCCCGGGTTCCTCGCTTCCCAATGAAGCATCTCAAAAATGGTATCTCTTCCGCGCCGAAGATGCATTTCTCAATATTGGCATATAACTTATGCATCCGCATGCAATCGAGCACAGCTTGCAAATGTTCAATGTGATTCTCTACATTAATCTTGCCGTTTTTGGCTTAACAATTGACGAATATATTGCCATGTTTGTCTGTGCATACGCGAAACAACTGCGTCACCAGACGACTGGACGTTGCAGGTGAGTTAAACAGCCCTTGGGGCATTACTAACCACTCCCAGAGAATACCATTTGTAGTGCTGACCGCTGTGAGCGGGACATTACTAGCTCTCATGAGCAGTTGGTAATATCCATTGACTAAGTCAAAGGCAATGTACATCCCACCATATTGTTCTGAAGAACATCCTTGCGAGGAATTGATGTTTGAGCCGGGATAGTGCTGCATTCAGCTTATTGTAAGCATGCACTATTCGCCACTTCCCACTAGGCTTCCTTACACAAAACGTGGGCGTAGAGTGCGCAGACTTACTCTCGCGCACCATGATAGCCGCATGTTTCGCACAAAAGAACTCGTCAATAACGTCACATTGTTCTCATGGCAACTCCCTTTGCCGCGTCACGCAGTATTATGTTGCTGGAAACAATTAAATCTCGTGACGTGCACCACTATCCGGACGTAACTTCGTAAGAGGTTCTCTGGAGACAACATCGCCATACTCCTATAACAAAAAGAAAGTACGAATCCGATGGTTTCTTTAGGATTTCTGATCCGCTTCGCGCATTCAGCACCTTCTTGGTATCCTCAAAAACTGCTTTAAACAAAAGCGATGAGGAATTCGACTCCTCTTTGAGTCTTACAATGACCACATCGGCGATATCGTCTGCCTTTAAGGCAATGACAAACTCGACAAAGGACAACTCGTCCAGATTTAGCAGAGCGTTACTTTGGGTACAGTCGAAGTAGTCAACGACTCTTTGACATCTCCCAGTCAAAACATTGAAGAGTGTATATAACTGTTCACCATCACCGTCATCACGATATTATTATCGCTACTCATGATGCTCTCAGCATCTGACGCAGTAGCGTCTACAGGTGTAAGCACCTCAAGGTCAAATACCACTTCGTTTACTGACTGCATCTCACCTTTTGGGTCGATTCCTCGGCACGAGGTGATTGCGCCTCGTTGTTATTACAAACAATCGTCATTATTGACTTCACCCGACCTCCTAGGGTAGCGTCACCAGGTGCTTTCACCTCGTTGTCCTTGAACACAACATCCGCTAGTGACTTCACCCGACCCTCCAGGGTCAGTACCTCGTCATCTATGTCCCTTGGACCAGTTTCGTGACATTTCGGCTCACAGTCATACACACACCGCCAGGTGTTTAGTGATGCAACATCGCATGTCATATGTGTCAACTAGAGGGTTCTCAACCACACTACTGATAGCCCTTGTCTCGCCGGGATCATTATCCTCAACACTTATAGCGTCTACAAAGTCGAATAAGCCGCCATCTAGCATATTGACCGACTCGGTCCAATATCCGCGCCAAAAGCGCTTTTGCTTCCTAGAAGAGGCAGGTTCAGGACTCTCCAGAGCCCCACCGGAGCGTTTCGCGTTGCGCCTAAGGTCTTCGACCTCCAGTCAATCCATGGCTCATGACGTTCTAGCCATGCCATGCTTAAGATGAGGTCATACCTCGTATCAAGGTCGAATCCCAAACAACGTCCATGCTGTTAAAGTCCAAAATCTTTAAATGTAAGTCCATAGGTACTTGAATGTGTACTGTAACACGCGTACCCGACGATAAACGAACCTTGACTGTGTCGCTTTCACGCGCTCTAAGCGCTTCAGCATACTGCTGACTACCTTGCACGGTGAGTATAATTGATGGATGCCCCCGAAATAATCAAAACAATCCATGTCTATCAAAGACGTCCCTTCGACTAGAGCATTGTTATACTCCTGAAGCATATGAATACGCTTGTTAACCTCTTCTTTCACCCTGGTCGATGAGATATTCTACGCCCTTAGGGCCAAGGATAGGAAGCAGCTTCTGCAACCCTTCCTGTTGTGCCTGTGACAGACCGCGGACATCTCTTTGATGTCTATTCTCACAGAGAAGTAGTCACAGACTCATGGTGCGGGATTGACTACAAGTGCTACCAGGTGAAGCAAAGCTACTTATGCACTTAGTGCAGAGGAAGACTAGCTCTAGAAGCTTTACGTCTTAGAGTTCTTGACCCTTTCAAGACTAGCTTTAAATCTTGTGTCTTTTTGGTTGCAACAAACACGTCTAGGATCAGAGATACTACTATTCCCTTACACATGGACTAGCGCTCTAGCAACAAATGCTATACAGAGCAGGTATAAACTTATTATTTAATGTTTATCTTTTAGCACTTACTATAGAAGCACCTACTCTATACTTAGTGCTAGTCACTATTTATCTGGCTCTGTAGCCCTCCTGATATGTAAACATATGTATTCATTATACTTAAACGAAGTAGAATGACCCGTGGCTCTCTGTTTCACAATCTCGACCCTTTGTACCTTAGGCTCACATCAACTTACCAGTGTACCCAAAGAACAGCCCGCCTTGTGTAACCCCGTTATAGTATACTGTTATTACTTCTCCTTATTTGAGCTTATAACCTTTTCTAGTCAGGAAAGAAGTGGACTGTTATTATCTTGTTAAACTACTGATCCTGCGATCTTTTCATTCTTTGGTTTCATATGTAATCGTGCTGGCTAGACTATCCTGAAGTAACATCAGTACTAATCGCGCATTACTGATGCATCAGCGACATTTGCCGCCAATCTCCAGATGGTCAATCTCAACAGGAGATAGAGACTGTAGTCAATCAAGTTTAGCTGAGAGTGTGGGTAGTATGCGTCTGTATACAATAACCTTCTCTTTATTACGCCACCTCGCATTTTGCATTCCATTAGGGTTATGAGCCCAACGTGTGCTGAATGGCTCGCCCAAAGATAAATATGTCAAACGAAGTATCTGGTTTGCGAATAAACGTCCATACATCATTAAACAAATCTGTAAACCACGGGACAGATCAAATGATATCGCTTCCAAAAATGAACCGCAGAATCTGGAGATAAGTCGGTTTGAAATAACGGGCCGGGCTAGACATGATGAGCGACATTGAGAGACAGAAAAGCGCTACTTCGCCGTGCTTCACATATCGAATGATACCTCGGCGCTTCAAAAGTTGCCACACGATGTCAAGTGCGCGTGGAAAACAATATAACATGAGTTCAAAGCGGCGCTTCGTATGCTCGAACAACAGAGAACTACCTGTTGCAACCTAAGCAGTATGAGAAGGCCATTTCCTTGCATTAAAACAAACAAGATCAATACAAACAACAAAAATTACTCACTCCAGCTGCAAGTGACGTGGCGGTATAGTCTCGGTGGAAAGCATTGCGAGCCGTGCAAACGAACAGTTTTGCTATCGTCTAAATAAGCAACAATTGTCAGCATTTAGTGGGGCAGCATCTACCTGAACGCACAAACCTGATACGACGTAAGAAACGCGGAAGAGCACAGCGCTGCGTAGGAAATCCGTGCAATTGTAGACAATGGAGCTTCCTGAAGGTACTGGAAGCGAAAAAACATTGCGGGGAGGAAGTGCACAGGAAGGTAAATTTGCATTGACCGCCCCAATCCGTTGATCCATTCCTTGATGGCGTGCGTCACGCATGATTCCCTAACCAAGTCATTCACAAGAACGTGTCATGACTATCGTTTCCAATGTAATATGCAAGCCGGATTTACTACATTTGTACGAAGTATACGCACATGTGATAGTGTGGTTGGCATCGGCGAAATGGCAAGGGGTTTCCGTGGGCGTCTAGTTGGCCTCGCATTCGCTGACGGACCGTGTACTCCAATCCATGGTGATTCACAGCGCCAATTCGACAAATCCACTGGTAATAGCCCTAAGAAATGAAGGCGATTCGAGAAATGCATTGCAGTTAGCAAAGACACTAACCTTGGCAATTATTTCTGCATCAACACGTACCCTGGGCAATAAACTCGGATCCACCACAAATGCATACATAATCGCTGCATTACTCATCGCAAATAACACTTCCGACGAGTATCGCCACGTCGGCAAAACACCAATTGACACCAAGTAGCGAAACACAACATCCAGCATACGTACAAAAATGTACAGCGCGATGGTACTGCGCCTTGAAGGCGAATCTAGCAGTAGTGTCAATCCAGCCACTGCTCCTGAAATTGCCAAATTAACAGCATCTCTTTTACCGCCTCGAGCGGCCCTTGTCACGAGTTCAGTGACTCGAAAGATCCCCACTAAACTTCCAGAAAAAATGCCAAATCGAATTGTATCTTTCCTCAACAGAAGCCTTGCAGCATCAGCGTATCCGTACTCCAGACTGCTCCATTTCCTTGAAGCTAAAAGCACTGCAGTAAAAGCCTTGGAACCGTACGCCAAAACAAAAGCTCTCACCGCAGCTTGACACGCCGCCTTGAGGTCTTTCCTGACGCTCATCCAATCCAGCGTCATTTTGCGCAATTCCTCACGCCTGGCAGCTGCATGTCGTTTCGCCTCAGCAAGAGATTCTTCCCGTCTACTGTAGGCTTCAGACTGTTGTTTGCCTCCGTCGTTAATGCGCGGTAACTGCTTCGGCGTCTTTTGCTTTTCGTTGTGCAACTCAAGCGCCGCTGCTGTAAGTTTTGATGGCTCACAACGAATCTCAGATGTAAATAAGGCTGAGTAAATACGTTCCATTGCTGCTGCAGTGAGTTAGTGCAGATTCTATGGAGATAATAATAACAGTGCTGACAACGTAGTTGAAGCTTTGTATGAGGTAGACCACTTTTTAGTCCCGTGAAAACCAGTAATACCGGTCGTTTAGACTAGTTCTAAAATTGGTCCTTATACAAACCTGAATCGAGGCGAGACTAATTTTAGAATGTACATGGCTTTCAAATTATAATTCTCAATTGCTTTTCTGGAATTGAGTCCTATATATTTTTTTTAATCTACATGTCTCCTAAATCTACGCATCTCAATCTACCATTTTTGAAAATTCAGGAAAATGACACCTGGTTGGTGCAAAAATACCGCTTTATACTGCACGGATGTGGAATAGTCACTTAATTAATTACTGCTGCTTTGGCCAAGCATTTTCGTTTTTGTACCTGCGAACTCAGCGTCACTTGTTCCACAGGTAAGGAGGAGCCTGTTTTGAACGTTTGGAGTGTGACGCACACTATTCACCGCGAACAAATCCTTGCCACAAGTTTCTACACGGCACAACAAAATGTATTGTTTAAGTTGTGCGACGTCACCGTTTGCAGTCTTGAATGGGGCTCCTGACAAACCAGCCAAGTATTTTTGGATTGGCATCGTGCTACTAGTCACCAATTGGACAAAACCGCGCTCATAGTCTCGACATACCGGGAACCACGAAAAAGAATCTACATCTCCAGGTAATGAAACACTGCTGATTCAAAAGGACTTATTTGCTACTCTTGCCACAGACGAGTCAGACACATAAATGGTGGGTCTCAAACCCTTACCTTACAACGCTAAGTTGACTAGAAATACAAGGGGGGGCTGTATATAGTGTAAGATGCAAACAAAGATTGCTGACAGATTTGGCAAGTAAACAATGGTCACCGAATCTAGATTGCTTCAAGTACGGACGCCTAGCACTGATGCTAAGCAAGCATGCATTTCATACTGTCCATAGATCGCTAGAGTGAGTCCGTCAATGCTTCATTAAAGCCTCTTCATATCAAGTTATTGGATTGATTTGATCAAGCACAAGTCGAGATTGCAGGAGATGCATGGTGCATGTAATGATAAAATAACAATTGGTCATATACCGGTATATCCGTTTTTGCATCAGGTTAAGTACGATCATGAGTATACGTGTATACTTTGCAACTCTTGACCATCCGTTCGTGCTGCATCATGTCAATTCTGCGCATGTCACCTCGCAGTGCAGTGCGTCTTGTGAAGACGTTTTCAGCTTCCGTTCGCTCGCTTTATACGATCTCATACAACACTAATCGACCTGATAGCTCAATGGCGTTGCAACGGCTTGCATTTGGCTTCAATAGCCGTCGTAGCTCTGTATTTCATGCGTCACATGCTGTTCATCATTTCAGTCAGTCGTCTCGATATGATGGAGATACACAAAAACCGCTGGGGGAGAAGATAGATGCAATAGATAAGCTGCAAGATTCAGCATTGATTGGAGACCAGGTATATTGGGCACCCATGTCACGTGCTGTGCGTCTCATGAAGGCTGTATCCGTCACGAGCTGTGTTCTTACGTCTATTGGCATGCCCGTGCTCTGCATAATAAGTGAGCAGGACACATCCACGATTGGAAAGGTGCGTAAGCAATATGGACAATGGAACCCAAAATGCATTGAGTACGACACTATTTGTAATACTACTAACGTTGTTAAAACTGAAGTGTGCTGAAGTGTGTCTGATGTTTGTTCGCTGTGAAGTGGGCCATGTGTGGAACTATTATGCTGTTTGGTTTGAGCACTACCTCGTTGTTTCACTACCTATTTAAGCCCTATGTGATAAGCATGTGGTTGACAAGTGCATTATTAACTAATGGCACGGGAAGGGACGCTACAAATGACCCGATGGTGACGGTCGAGACGGTGACTTTGTTCGCTCAACTGACGCAGAGTTCGTTTCGTCTCTCCGAGATTTCTCCACCCACCCAAGGGATGCATCCAATGGTGTCGTTCCAAGCACGCGGTCGTCACTACTTCATACACCCTGAGGCAATCGAAGACCAAAACTTGCTGAACAGGCTTGTTGGAGCGCGCATGCGAAAATAGGTTTTGTACACACGCGATGAGTTTGGCTTGGCAATTTGAATATGGAGAAGAAGACTCTCCGTGATATTTTCAGCACGTCACTTCTTAACGTCACGCATATAGTCGTCCATGTTCAATCTATGCTGTAGCCACCGTTGCTTCATCTTTTCTGTTTGCCAGGGTTTGCATTGGCAATGGCCGAGTAACTTTTTCGCTTCCTACGAGTTAGAAGTGGGTGCTAGTTATCATCAGCCTCGTTGGATTGATTCTAGTTAGCGGTTGCCAATGAACTTATGGGGTTAATCACTCAGAGCACACTCATTTTGGTGAACTTGCTGAGGAACTGTTGTTGTCCTTCTTAGCCAAGAATATGTTAAGTGCTACTTATCTTCTAGTCTTTGCTAGAACCATAAGCCGTGCCTGTTTCAAATCAAAAACAGTTGGTGTACTCCATATTTGTCGGACGACAAGCAGTTGTGTGGCCTCAATGCGAACGTCGCTTAGCTTCTTTGGGACCAATAAGACACCTTTGTACGATACCCTAGCGCTCATGCACGACTTCAAAAGATTTCAGCAACGTTCTCCTTAAGCGTTGCTAGCACACCTTGGTTTGCTACAACTTACATCATGTGTTTTCGTAGGGAACAAGCTGCACAATGTTAGCAAAACTGTCCATTTGTCAGTACAGTTCTTTGACCACTGACACCCATGCAACCCTTCAACGAAACAGTCACAAAGAAATTGGCACTTCTCTGAAAACGTTTTCAATCAGCAAACGAAAATCAATCGTAATCCGTGCTGCTATGTTCTGTTACCAATTCCGGTGGAGTTTATGTTGAAAAGCTTACCTTATCCCTCGTTCTGCTATGCAAATGAGCTAAATGGAGTGATAGCCATTGGCATCACACTAGCTTTACAAACGTCATGACTTGGTTGCAACGAGAGCGTCCGCATCAGCACAGATATTATCGTATAGACGCTCGAAGCCCACCGGTGTAAACGGCGTAAATCCTGCAGCATACGTCCACAAGGATGTACAAAGTTCATCAAACTCGTGCGACGATTGGTTGCGCTCGGCCTTGTCTTGATGCTGCGTCACGATCCGATCGATTGTTTCTCCAATTGTACTCACATACTTGAACATCTTTTCGACCACAGTCTCGTCTTTGTGGTTGCGAGACCACTCGGCCATTATCTTCATTTTCTTAAGCACCTGTCGAATCTCGCGCAACTTCTTGTTGGGTTTCCACTTCTCGTAACACTCGTCAACCGAGAGCAATGGTAACGAAACTACATCCGCAACCGGTTGAGTTGCCACTATCTCGGACGTCTCCACGTTAGCTTTCGCCTCACGACGCTCACTTCGCCGTTGCTCTTTTTTGCGCCTTTCTTTTTTGCTCAAACTCTCACTGCTGCCATTGCGACACTTCTTACGAAGCAACGTCTGATCTTCCGATAACGCTCGTCTTTTGTGGCGTGACGACATGGACTGAGTTGGTAATGCACCACCAACTTCACCTTCTTCAGGTTCGCGATTAGCAACACAGCTTTGCACAGGGGATCTTGTGGCCGGTATTTTGTTCTGCTTACTATCATCCGCTCCCTGGCCAGGCCCGCCAACGCAGCGCCGCCCTGTGGCTTCTTCACCATTTTGTTGCCGTGTAGTGAACCGTTCTGCCGCACGTGCCATTCGACCCCCTCCTGGAGCTGAAACAGCAGGGATTGAAGCTGTCACCCCGGGTATAGCTCCACTTTGGATAATTGCACTAAACTGTGCACCCAGTGACTGGCTCGAGTTAGCCCCAGCAGAACTTAGAGAGCTCGCTTGCTGCACAAGGCGCGGATCGCCAGCGTGAAGATCAGGTGCTGGTAACCGCTTCAGCAAGTTTTCAGCTCGCTTTTTCAGGCGCTCGCCTTTTAAGGCCCGCTGTCCTTGAAAATGAAGCAAATCATCGTTCAGTACGTCTTCCCAGCCTCCAAACCCGTGAACGTAGACACCAAGTAGCAGCGCTGCATCCTTGCGTTGTGACCAGTCATGCTCCTTCTCAGCCCAGGTCCAGCTAGGCAAGTCTCGTGTGTTAACACCCAAAACAGAAAGATCGCTTTGTTTCGCCACTAAAACGTAAGCTCCTTGAGCATTCACTTGTGCGTTACCTGAAGAACACCCTGCGGTACGGAGTGCGCGCTGGACAGCGATGCGGAGTTTCAAGTTCTCGTAAAGACGCTCAATAATTTGTGTTGATCTTACCTCGACCTCAGCAATTTTTATGTTATCGTGCGGTGGTCGCGCTTCAACTGCCTGTTTGGCTTTCTGAGCAACTTCATTTGCAAGTGCGTACAGTCGATCGATGGACATCTTCGTAGTCGTCTGCAAGCTTGCTCGCTCAATAAAACTGGGCATTTTATACTCATCGGCAAAATTCACAGCCGTCGGGTAGAGACCCACGTCAGTAAGGTCTCCATAGCGGAGCATTGCGCGCAGCACCACCCGTACGACCTTACCATCCACTGCCGGTTGTGATGACCTGCTAACGCTGCTGCTGTACCCGTCTCCTCCAGCGTCCCCTCCAGCGTCCCCTCCGTGATCACTGCTGCTGCTATTTCCTGTACTCACCGCCATCAAGCTTGTTGCAGTTATCGGCTTCGTCGCCGGTTTGTTTGTCATTACCGACACCGGTGGTACCGTCCCGCTAACAGGAGTCGATGTGGTTGGCTTCTTGGCCTTTGCATTTGTCGTTCTGCGTCCATTAAGTTTCATAGCCAACCTGTCATGCGCTGACACAGGTTTTCGCTTGATTACCAAGCGTCCGGAAGCCCCAAACTGACCTAGAGGTCCACCCACAGCCATTGGAGCTCCACTATTCACCACTGCTTCGGCGCCCGGAGATCGCGCTGGCGAGCCTCTTGGGGGTGGTGGGCTCGATCTTGCAGCTAGTGTCTGCCCTATCGGTTTTTTCCTTTTATCTCGTAAATCTCTCTGAATTTCCTCAATCGTACGTCGGTCTCGTTTGCGTGTACCAAGAGGCATCATCGACTCGGTCTCTGAAGCTTTAAATCTCGCGGCTGCTCGCGTTGAATTCACGTTCAGCGTTTCCGTATTAGCTGCCATTCCATGTGGACGTGGAGCAGATAATGGTGGACCTGAGCTATTACCAGACTGACCTGTGCGATTGATATTACCTCCAGAAGATGTGCCACTTTTAGCTCCAGAGTTGATGTCAGCATCGGTATTAGTGTTCTCCGTCTCGGTTCCATCGTCCGTCTCAGAATCAGATGAAGACGACGACGACGAACCTGATCCCGAACTAGTCGATGATGAATCGTCGTCAGAGCTCGGGTGCTCGTTTTTTTCCCTACGGGGCGTTTCTTGCACGTTTTCAGCCATTGAAAGGTGTTTAAATGCTGTCAAAAGTAGCAATCGTGTGGTCAAATGACAGAAGGAATGTCGAGTATTGTTACAGTGATACAAAAGACCGGAGAGGTGGCAGCTAACCCAAGCCAAGGATGGACAGTCGAAGGAAGGAAGGACGAGCAAGTGATGCTTTGACGTTAGAAACGAGGATTCTGACTCTTCATTGTTTGGATTGGCTGAGTCATGAGATGGAATAATTATTAACGAATGAAAGATGACAATGGTCGATCACGTGATGGGATTGGACAAGTAAGCTGCGTAAAGGCGATGAAAGGCCTCAACCTAGGTGGCGTCGTGGACTTTTGCCGTGTGCTGACACGCCAACCGCAGCTTCTTTTACCACAAGTGTCTGTGAAAGGTATCTTGAATTGTATGACCTTTCATTCCATACACGTTTTTGGTCGGTTTTGATGCGTGTAGCTTGCATGCAATCAATACTAGTTAAGAACATGTCCATTCTTGTCTCCATATCTGCTCGTTCTGGTTGTTGTAGATGTGACAGAAGTGCCATTCCAGACGCTTCAAGACCGGGGATTTCGTGGCGTTATATTTGACAAGGATAATACCTTAACAGTACCGCATACAGTAGAAATTGCACCTCATTTGAAGTCTTCTTTGGCTGAATGCCGACGAGTGTTTGGGGACTCGGGTGTTGTTATTTTCTCCAATTCAGCTGGATCTGTGGACGACAAGGATGGAGTGAAAGCTAAGCGAATCGAAGATGAATTGCAGATTGCTGTGCTTCGTCACAATCACAAGGTTTGAGAGTATTTGAGTGCTATTGAGGAGATTGTCGAGCTGAGACTGAAGTATTTGCTGTTTTAGAAACCTCGAGGCATTGAATATGTGAGAAAACACTTTACTGAAATCGACACGAAGAGACTGATTATTATCGGTGATCGGTACTCGACAGACGTGCTGTTTGGGAATCTCAATGGTGATATAGTTGGTTGAATATTGGTATGGACGACCGCTTGGTGACTTGTGTGTTGGTATTGCACAGGACTCCTGACGATTCGGACAGAGCAACTTACATTTGAGAGTGAAAGTGTTGTTAATCGACAGCTGCAGCGCATTGAAAAAGCAGCTGTGCGAATGCTGATGCGTGCCGGAGTGAAGCCGCCTGCACATCCATTATGGGATGACGTTGACACGAAGGCGTAAGTACGATTCAAGGTATAAGATTGCGTCGTACGTATACAATCGCCATGAAAGGTCCTGGAAAGGGTGGTGTGTTTGCTTTGCTCTCTGCAGTGGAAAAACCCATTAAATGCTGTGCATTTACATTCGTGTGCGCCATTATCTGTCAGCCTGACGTAATAGTAGGTGTGCAAAACTTGATAAGTAGGGATTCATAGCTAGTAACGTTGTGTTGAGTGTCTCTATCAGTTCCTCGTAGAGTTTGCTCCTGCACACCGGCCTCGAATTTGCTAGAGTTCTATGCGTTGCATACCCACGACGTTGGTAATAGATCTTGCCCAGACGTTGCCACTTTCCTTTTCCTCACGCTCTTGCGCATCACAAGTCCATTGACACTTCAGCTGGTGAAGCTGTGAAGTATGTCGCCCACAAAATCCGTGCCATTGGCTTTCGAGTTGTCATCCTTTTGACGTTTTGGATTCAGCCTGTAAGATAATGGTTGCCCACGCTCAGGACTTAGCTCTTCCAAAGACATTTGCGTTTGCCATCAGTTTTCTAGTGAGTGTTTCGTTCCTCCACTGGTGCAAAACGCAACTTACGCCCCTGACCGATCGCGAAACCAACAGCGAGTAACAATCGTTACGTGTGACTGCAACATTTCGTTATCTCGCTTCAATTTGACAGTACACTAACTCGACAGCATAATGAACAGAATGTGCTTGGACAATGATGAGTTAATGTAGCTTAAAAGTCCAAGGTCAACCAGACAAACGTCATACCGAGAGCGATTTAAAAAGCATTTTCATTTTTATGACGACGATGGATACTGGTTTTCGCTTTACTAGCTAGAGCACGCCAAGACGAACAGGCTGTCACCTGCGTTGATGCTAATGTTGCCCATTCTCTTTTAATAAATAGCCATAGCACTTCCAGTCAAAATCCTTTGATACCACTTCAATATTAATACCATCACATGATCGAACACATCTCCCCATGACGTTCGCTGTAAGTCGACGTGCTGCTGGTATTACTGTTCAAACCTGAAGAGCCGACAAACTCGTTCAAATTTTTCATCGCTACAGCAACATTGCTCATAAAATATGGTCGCCAAATCTTGCGGTACATGAACTTTGCTGAGAAGGGCAACATTCCCTGAATACTGAGCTGCTCAGTTTCGCCTCCCCAGATTTTGCTGCGTTCAACAATCCATGGAACCACAACACGTTTGGCCCGGATAGCGCGGAACACACGAGGCATAATGTGACTATGGAATGCGCGTTCAGTGAATGCCGCGCCCATTGCTGAGTGCAAAGTTGTCTCCTCCATATTTAATGCCGCATGCAGCGTGCGATTGAGTTGCCTGATCTCTGTTTGCAACACCTGGAGCCGCAAAAGCCATGATGATGCATTGCATGCTCCGCTAACACACAACGCACGTTCAAGCTGCTGGATTTGCACGAGCATTTGTGAGATATCCTGGTACACATCCAGCACTTGTTGCTTCGTAGAAGCCGGCAAATTGAGTAGAGGCAACAACACAGAAGCCTTTACTTCGTGCTGACACTGCAAATACTCGACAAAGTACGTCTTAAACCAGACAAAAAATTCAGCAACGTGTGTCTCCAATGCCAATGTGTTCGAAGCTTCAGGTTTGGACTGACTCTGAGACTGTTCCAAAAAGCGATCCATTACAAATAATGCATGACGAATTGGCTCATGGATTCCTAGTAGGAATTTTGCACTCCAACTCCAGTCCCGTTGGTCCGAAAACACAGCACTAAAAATGACACTTCCATTGTGCGAAGACGGAGGAGGTACCGGTACATTATCCAAATAGAGCTCCTTTCTGACATTATCATGAGTGCAAGAATTCTTCACAGTACTTGGACGCACAATTTCGGGTGTATTTGCTCGCTTAAGCTTCCCTGGTCGAAGCCTATTCACCACAGACGATCCTATGCTGCTGAGCTCACCGTCGCTGTCTTCACAGCTAAGTTCGGTAATTCTATCTGCACGACTATGAAGTGGTGACATCATGTCTTCTGGTTCAGTGTCTGCAGTGGAAGGACCCTGTTCACTCCCCATTTTCTTGTCCGTCCACTTATTCAAGCTAGAATTTGGTCGTTTCAAGCCTAATACAAGACTATCGTCATCCCAAATATTCACAAGTCTCATTTTCTTCGATTCCTCGCCGTAATCAGCTCGAAAATCAGACATGGTCGTAACTACATGTGCCACCTGTGCAATATCCACTAGAGGACCTGTCGCCACACGCTTTTTATATCTCCGTGACGTGATCGAAGGAGGAGAGCTAGTGGATTTTCTAGACCGAGCTCGACGTCGCAGTGCAGCATCTTCTTCATCACTTGGTCCCCAAATATTGCGGTAAAATTCACATGGAAGCGTCATTTTGTGCTTGATTTTATCTTGCTCGTGTAATGCGATACTTTGATAGGAAGCACCACTTGTCTTAGTAATACCGTCGCTGTCTTTGCTGTGACGAAATGAAATGGAAAGTGGCATCGTCAATCTCTTTTCTTGTCAGTCAGTCGGTTGTTATTTAGTTAAAAGTAGTTAGTTGTTGAATTGTAGTGCAACGTAGCAGATTGCACTTTGAAAGGTGTATGTCTGTCTGTCTGTCTATCTGTAGGAATAAAAACCGTCTAATACTTGGCACAGTGTGACGTTTAGATAGCCAATGAAAGAGTGCAACTGTTATATAAAGTAAAATGAAACGGTCACGTGGGATTAAACCAAGCAACAACTGCAATGCGACGAGAGTCGGAGCAGTTGGTGACGATGGAGCTGACGTGACTAGGGTGGTCCTTTCGCTCTCGACACGTGGGAGTAGAAACGGAAAGAATGAAACTTGTTGAACTTTGTTTAGAAACGGTTCAAAAGAGTGAGTAGTACCTTTACTACTACTACTACTATCACAACAAAAGACTACGTGCGAGCAAGTTAAAAAAATGGAACCTAGTCGAACCTTATCGAAAGAAAGAAAGACTGGCTTTTGTTTACTGAAACAATTCATATCGACTTCCGCCCCATCATTAAATTCCATTGAGCCATTTCTTTTGTGCGCCATGCGAGTGTAATATGTAAACCCAAAAAAAGGCCTACCCTTTTTTCTTTCCGTCTTAACTGCAAGGTTGCTCTGAAGATTATATCATATGTCATACCAAATGGTCAAACTTGACTGTCTCTACCATTAAAAAACATTTTAGAAACAGGAAATGCATTTCCTGGCTCAAACGACTCACATGTAAGTAGATAGATATTCCTGTTATAACACTCTTAGTGCCAAAAGGCAACTAAACTACTAGTCCCATTACTTTCAATCGACAGTTGATATTGATTTTATATGGAAGCTAGAAAATAAAGCATCCAAATGGATTTTCTGCTTCTGTGGATGTGTCTCTTCACATCTTTACAGAGCGTATCCGCGACAATACCGTCGGCACCGATATGAGAGCCCTGAAATTTTGTAAAGCTCAAGCGATAAAAAGCGTCGTGTCTACGACCAGCTGGGATCCATGCTTCAGTTGACGATAGTCCATGTTCTGCTCCATGTTTGCAAAATATGACGCATTGGTGTTGCCGCATCTAATACATTACTACTGGCGTATCGCGGGGTCCATACAACCGTGTGTTTTCTACGATCAGCAATCACATCGCAACACAAAATTTGGCTGATAAGGGTTTTTCTATGTTCCTGCCCACTGCAACACGCATCTTTGCTAGTCATAGTGATTGTATTTCGGTAGTAGTGACTATTACAAAGATAAGTAAGTGCAAAAAAGAAAGATGGCTTACAAAAAACAAGTTGTATCTGTCGAGGAGTCCCACCACCCATTTCGTACTCTATATCTGTACTCCAAAAATAGTATACGTCTCTTTTCTTTCCTTATTTCCTACTCGTCCATGAAAATACCGTTATCCAAGTCAGTATTCATATGAGGTGAAATTCCATGAGCCATGTTATGCGTCTTGGAACGCGACGTATTACGTGACATACTCAAGCGATTCTTCTCCTGCCTTTTGCGCATTGGCAATTCCTTGGCGTTGGTATTTGTAGTCTTGCTACTGTTCTTCTTTCTTGACGCAGTCTTTGATAAATCCTTCAAGCTCGTGGACTTGGTCTTTACAACTGGTTTCTTCGATACTGCTGATTTTAAAGTCAATGGAGCAGGTACGTGAGTTGGTATGGCCGGTTTTGCGGCAGTGGAGCCATCACAAACACTGCAAACCCACGTCTTTGCCTTTCGAGCCGCGTGGCGAGTGGACATATTCACACACTTTGGGTGAAACTTAGTCCTGCATAGGGAGCACACCAATGTGAGTGTCGGATCTTCTGGATCACCACCACACACACATACACGTGTCGGCTCCTTACATACAGCTGCATGCAGTTTGCAGAATAAAGAGTACGTGGTTCGATCAATTTCACCACCGCTTTCCACTGCGCAACGTAAATGGTAGTTCCGCCGACACTTGGGAACAATGCAACCAACCGTGGCACCAAATGAGTTGCAACTCGTACACTTGAGCTGACGTCCACGCTTGATCGCTTTCGGCAAATTCATGATGAGCCCATCGGGCTTCACATACACCTCTGGCGAGTGCACGGCACAGTTTAAGTGCACATGCACAGACTCATTGGGCTTGTCAGCGTACTTCAAACGAACAGGAGCATCGATAAAAGGTCCTTCAAGAGCCATATCAGCACGTGCAGTCCCAGCTGAGTCCGCACTTGCACTAGCGGTTCCGTTACGCGATCCCGCTCTAGCTAAAGGTGGAAGTGACAACCCTTGAGGTTCAGCACCTCCTCCCATTACGTTACAACGGTGGCATAGCGCACAGATCTTCGGTTTAGTCGGTTTCGCAACCGATTTATTCGAAGGTGCCGATTTACATTTCTTGGACCCAGTCAAGCTGATCCGCTTCGGAGATGAAATACGCTTACGCTTGCCGTTTGTCGTTTCTCCATGCAATTTATCTGGTTTGTCGTTTTCGTCCACAAAAACTAATTCTGGAACTTCCACGTGCCGCTGAACTGGTGCAGCAGCAGGTGCTGCACTAGCGCAATGACTTATCGTTTTCAATCCAATCGTTCGGTCTGCAGAAGCTGGTGGCTTCTTCTCGTCTAAATGATTTGCGCAAATCATAAGATTCTTAGAAAGTCTTATACACTTGTCTGCAAACGGAACACACTTTGGGTGAAAGGCTTGTGAGCAATGGATACAGCTCACAACATTGCTCTTCTTGTCGCTTTTCTTTTTGCTTTTCGCAGCAGCTTTCAACTTCGTTTTCTGCGAGCAAGTATGACAGAAATGACTCGGGCAACGGAAACGTTTCTTGCCAACCCACTCGACGCGATTGTTCTTGCTTAGGCAGCCCTTATGGTAAAATCTGCCACACTTGGCTACCGAGCATTGAGTGACACCAAACTCAACACCCATTTCGCCGACCTGCTTGCAAACCAAGCACATGTGACGTCCCTCAGCACAATCTGGGCACAACCACTGCTCGTCGTTCGGTTCATCAGTCATGCCTACACACTCGAGGTGGAACGAACGATGGCATGGACCGTCACACAGCAAAATTAATCCGCCGTCTCCACAAAGGGTGCACAAATCGTCACTGTCGTCAATAACACTGGCTTGGGACAGGGCAGCTGGGAGTTTAGTTTCTACGCTTTTCAATTGCTTTGAACGGCGACGGTGTTTGCTGCCTTTTTTCTTTACATGAGTATCGCAGTATGCTTCGTCCTCGCTGCTTGCTACCTTGATGCCTGCTGGAGTGCTTTTCCTACGCCTTTTCTTCTTTGGGGTACCAAAGTCTTCATTCTGGTACATGTTTGCTCGGGACGGAGCTAGACGACAGCTTCGTACGCGCGATTTTTCCAGCTTCGATAAGTATCCCTTCACGAGATCAATCTGTTCGTTGGAGAACTCATCAAGGTATTTTGAGCTTATAGTACTCAGTACCTGTATGGCAATATTATATTCGTGTTGAATATCTCGACTCCCAGCACTGCCATCGTCAGCATTGTTTCCTGAGCTCATTTCGGCAATCAAGCTAGTCAAAGCAACATCCAAATTGCTGATGAACTTGATTTTCGACTGACGTGAGTTCACACCGCTGCCATCTTCAAGCTTCAGGCTCAGCATTTCCACCGATACTGCCCCTGGAAGAACCTTCTCCCAAAAGTTGGGGTCATCCACGGACAGTTCACCGGTCGATCCCTCAGCAACGAAGGATGAACGGTCTACCGCCATTCCACCAAGTGATTTTCGCTTGTACGACTTTATTTGCGACTTTCTACGTTTTGGCGATGTCACACCACTCGCATCAGCGTCCACCCCATTGCTAACATTGGATTTAGCGCCTACAACCAGAACACGAGCGTTTTCTTTCAAAATAGTCTCAATATCTCGCTCAGCAAACTCTTTGGATGCCGTATCGTCATTTTCCATTAGTGCATATGCTCCACGCTTCAGCAGCTCTACAAGCTGCTCTGCAGATGGTTTCGTAATTTGTGAATTTTCATTAAAAGACGCTGTACCTAGCACTGCGTGCTCCAGACCAAGCTTTCGTGATGCGCGGTCAAACATTTCGCTTTCGTACGTATTACGCGTCACCAAGCGATAAATCTGAACACTCTTCTTTTGCCCGATACGGTGACACCGTGATTGAGCCTGCAGATCATTCATCGGATTCCAATCACTGTCAAAAATAATTACCGTATCGGCTGCAATGAGATTAATGCCTACGCCACCAGCTTTCGTACTCAGTAGAAACACGAAAGACTTTGAGTTTGGTCGAGAAAATCGGTCAATTGCGCTCTGACGCATGCTTCCACCAGTTGAACCATCCAGACGTTCGTACACAAAAGAATTAGCCTCGCAATATCGTTCGAGTAAATCAAGTTGCTTTAGAAATTGGCTAAATATCAAAACTTTGTGTCCGTCCCGCTTTAATTTCGGGATTAGTTTGGACACAAGCATCATTTTGCCAGAGCATTCGATCGTTTTTTCCATCACTTGTTCAGGTGTAGAATTACAACCAAGTTCGTCCAACTCTCTTTCTTCAACACCTTTAATGAGAAATGGATGGTTGCAGCACTTTCGCAGTTGCAGCTGAATGTTGTTTAGCGTTGGTAAACCATTTTTCGTACCACGGTACAAAAAGCTTCTATTCTTGTCGTAGATGGCTCGGTAGTACTGCTTTTGCAGCGTTGTCAGTTCTACAGAAATAATCGTTTCTTCCTTTGGCGGAATGCTTTTCTCGACATCCTCCTTCACTCGTCGCAAAATGTAAGGTGCCAGCAGTTGCTGAAGCCTGACGACTTGCTCCTGCGAATGCAGTTTTCCAAAATTCTTGTTAAACTCGTCCAAGCTGGCAAATTTTACCGGCTCTAAATAATTTAACAAAACCCAAAGCTCTTGGGTATTGTTCTGTAATGGTGTTCCTGTCAGCAACACCTTACGATCTACGTGCAGGACGCGCATCATCTTCAACACACGCGACCCAGCTCCCTTCAGTCGATGTGCCTCATCCACTACGACCAATCGCCAGTGAATGTGCTCGAGCTCTTCAAAATCTGCCAAAATCGTCTCAAAAGTGGTCAACAAAATATGAAACTTGAGAATCGAGTTGCCCAAACTCGGATAATACCATTCTTGGTCACGAATCACCGCACGCATATCTTTTGCAGTAAATTTGGTGGTGCGGTCTCCAATGTCGTGATAGACGCATACATTAAGATCCGTCCAGCTCTCAATTTCACGGCGCCAATGCTGAATCGTACTAAGCGGTACAACAATCAGATACGGGCCACGTATAAATTCCTCCGACTTCATATGCTCAATCAGCGACACGATTTGAACCGTCTTACCCAGCCCCATCTCGTCAGCCAATATGCACGATCGCTGAGCTTTCACGCATGATACCATCCAGTTAAGACCTTCAACCTGGTACGCACGTAGCGTGCGGCCGCCTTTATACGTTGGTGACTGTTCATACGGCACAAACTCGCTCGCATCTACAGGATTACTTGCGCCTGCACTTTCTCCATTAGTTGAGCTGGTCCGCTCCGGGAGAAAGCTCGCAAAATGCTCATGTGGATCAATACTGTTGTCCACAACCCCTGCATACAAATGTTGCATAGGACCGCTTGGCGCAATGTAGTTGGAATGTTGCATCAACGTCTCGTCGCTTGTGACGCCACATCCAGGTCTGTAACTCCAACTTTGAGCATTTGTTTATAATCGTTGTAACTAAAGTCTGCAAATTTGGTGTTTCCTGGAGCCGCATCATCTGGAATCTTATCCAAGCGAATCTTCGTGACTTGTTTTGCTTGGCAGTACGAGGGGTACATGAACGCGGGTCTAGCGGAATGGAAGTGGAAGGTAATCTGGTCAGGAGACGCGCTGATCAACCCAACGACGTCTTGAAACAAAAGGCCCGCGACGGATATATTGTTTACAGCTACAAGCACATCACCAGCTGAGATAACTCCAGATGCTTGGGCAGGACCCATCATACCATTTGCAAGAACTTGGAATCCCAGAACTGACACGCTATTGGTTACGCTGATTCCAAGACGCATACCTAGGCCGAATGGTGATCGACTAAGAACGACGCGAAACTCTGAAAAGGCTGGTAGATCATTGAAAGCTGTTCCTGGATATGTCGAGTCATGCCGAAATTCAGCACTGACGGTCTCCAGTTTGGTAGCGTATCCAAGAGCAACGTGCTCAACGAGAGAGCTAAGTACTATTCCAACCTCTTCTCCAATTTTCTTTTTGTGACGTCCAGCCTCATCATCGCCTTCGTTGTAACCATTCTCAAGGGTCAAAGATGCTCGATAACAAGCAACCCGATTCGGTTGGTCTGCATCAAAGTTCGCATCATCATCATCAGATGAATCTCCATCCGAATAATCTTCATCATCATCTTCTTTGAGGACAAGAGGTGTCAGATACTCTTTTGTGATGACAAATGCGTTAGTATATACACCACACTGCTTGAGAACATCGTTGTCCGGTGTGTGATTGTTCAGCAAGCAATGTAAAGCGAACAATTGTGCCTTCACTTGCTCTGCCATATGCAAGTGTTGATACGCGCTGCTGCCATAGGTCCCTCCCATAGTTTTGATACTACGAGAGCAATTGCTTTCGTGGCCATATCCTAGAGTACAAAAGCGGTCTTTTTCACAGCATTTCTTCCCACTTGAGTGATTTGCTAACGCAAACTGGTGCCTTTTTGCACAGCACGGCAATTGACACGTAGTTTCTTGGATCTCGTTCGCACTGGGCACACGGCTGAACCTAAAATATCTTTGAATTTGTTCATCGTCACCAATATCCTCAGGACGTTCCCAAGTTGAGAAACGAACCGACATACCAACCCACTTGACCAGAAAGAGCGTAGCAGCACGATCTTTTATGCTGATTGGTGCTAAGCTCTTTGTTGAATTGCAACCTTTGGGGCTGCGCTTGGACGTTTTTTTGTTAACTTTACCTTCACCATCTGCGCGTTCCATAAGAACACTTGGCGTGTGCACCAACGTGGCAGATTTTTTTTGGCTTGATGAAGAAGTTGTCGTCATATTTGAAGTTATAGGTGTAGCATATCCTGATACTCCAGCGGGAACACCTGATTCAATAGTTTTAACCTTCCTGTCAACACGAGCCTGTGTAGCCTTTTCCATCTTCTCAATAAACTTTGTGCATGCTCGGCAGTACCCGCAAAACCACTCACCATCGGGTAGTTCCGTGATTTCTGGGGTGATGCAGTACATGTGAACCTCACCATCACATCGGTCGCATAGCAAAAGCTCCTCGCTGTGATCATTGCTCCCGCAAACAGAACAGCCGGTCTGCCAAGGCGCCCACCTGTCATAAAAGCTACTAGCTTCAGCTCGAAACTCTTTCTGGAGCTGTCGGTCTTCTTGTGTGTATCCTGCAGATGGTAGCTTCAGCCAAGCCGTTGGGGAAAGAATCCAATCGTACAACCACTTTTCAAAGCGGCGCAGAAGCTCATCAGCAACACCCCAGATGACTGATCCCTCGGCGTTGTACGCTTTGCAGTTGCAAAATACCAATCGTACGTCTGAAGCAAATAATGACACGGCTGATGAGCCAATGTAGTAACTTTCTCGACCAATCCTCGTGGAAATCGTCCTAAGATCGAGAGGATTCGTGATGACATTAAGATAGTCGGGAATCTCTTCAACATCTACCGGGTGTTCAAAAATGTCACCGCCAGGTTCTTTTATCAACTTTGTCACGATACCTAGCATTCGCTCAGGAATGGCGTCAGCATTGTTCATCAAAAAATAATCTGTCATACGTGGAAACTTTGGTTTGTACAGGAGCTGGCGTCGATGCTTCTCAATTTGTTCATCCAAATGATCAGCTGGGTCCACCTTGTGGCTCAAGATCTTTTCAACCATAAGTTTGTTTGCCTCCAAATCATCTACTTCATCCAGTGGTTGATATCCATCGCGTCTCAGCTTTCGATCGTACACTTGTACGCGATGGAACTTTTGATAACCTTTTGGAATAAAGAGCTCTACCTCGTCAAACGTAAGCCAGTACAAATGCAAGTACGAACGTCCGAGAAACTTGCACAAGTATTCCACCAATCCTGTCGACTTATTCATCCGTCGACCAACTATCTGGTCCAGCTGTGGATAACTTCCGTCCTATAAGGACAACAAATGAACAAGAACATTTTACATTCCATTAATCGATCAAGGTTGCATTGTTGCAGCACGACCACGTACAAACAACGTACTGTTCTCAATTGATAATCAAGTTGTTGTGCTTGCTTCTTTTTATCAGCCAAAATAGCCTCTTCTTCCTCCGATACGTCATCTTCTTCCACATATTTTACTTTCTTCATATTCGTGCGGCGATTACGACGTTTACCATTCTCCACACTCTTTGTTTGCTGCTGGGTCTCTGCATTCATCTGCACCATACTACTTTGGTCCATAGTATTCGTTCCAGGACTTGTCTCGGGCTGTGTTGCCTTGTCTTTCGTCTCGGTTGCATCAATCAGCGCTAAAGGGGTCGTTTTAATGGCTTTCTCCTGCTTTTTCGCGGACGTAACGTCTACAGGAATCAATATATACAGAGTAAATGATTGTCAATGCATTTACATAGTGAAAACATGGAGATCAAGGCGAAAAAACACCCCAAAACAAGCGACAGAAACGGCCGAATCGACCGTCTCTGCCCTTCATTGAACCGCCATGAGCTTTATAGAGGACGTACAAAGACTAGAGACACCGCTATCCATAAGAATTTGAGCGTACAATACGATACACTGATGACGATGTAGGAGCGGAGGGAGGTAAAGAAGATTACTAGCTTTGTAGTAAGAAGGTTGCACTCTCTCTTTCCGCGCGCCTTCGCTTGCTTGATCTCCGCACTGTGTTCAAATTGCGAAATGGCCCAATGGATTTTAAATAAACTTGGAGTTTGTAAGGAATGATTTCATTGCGATTGGTTGGTTTCTGACTAAATACGAGAGCGATCCATCAAGATGGCTACATTTTAGTGTATATCTAAACTATATAACAGAAACAAAACGCAAATCGGCTTTGCGATAATGGGTCTGTGAATGATATGAAGCAAATAGTACCCGCTGATATAACATACAACATTCCTATGACCATCATTCAATAATAAATTTGCTAGTCGGACCAAAATAAATATATTAAAAACAACACTTGATGTTTTTGAACTGACTTCAAGTTCCAATTATTTTGCCACGGATGGATACATTGTGTCAATGCACTTGACGACGATATAAGCTCTTACCATCTTCATTGACTTGGAAAGACCAATGATGACATTGTTTGATGCTCAACATCTTGGTATACTCTATTGTTGTCCATTCCAATTGTTATTGCAATGTTTATTGTCTTAAGTCAATGAAAAGCTGCTAAACACACGACTGCAACTTCCTATCTTCTATGACAACAAGGCAAGAGTGATAACAACATGAGCTGGTGCTAGGAATACCTGTGATTTGTTGATTACCGTCTGCAATAGGACAGGCTTGTCTTATAAATGCCTTTCGTGTTCACACATTGGAGCTGTTATACCACAACTTGACAGAAGACATGAACCAGGTTGTCTCTTTCAGCGTAACAGCCACAGCAGTGCAATTTCACTCGACTTTGCTGAATGTTTCTCGCTTTGATCTCGGCAAAAGTGACTTACCGGATGTTTGAAAGCACTCGTTACCTAGTCAGCTGCCAGCTCTTCTAATGGAACCAGAAGTTTCCTCCGCTACAGCCGCTTTTACATATGTATCCTGCTATCAGTAGATTGTCGTCTAGCGCCATCTTTTTTCATGACGACAAACACATCACAAGGTATGCAAGTTTGATGATATTTCGCCCTTGTATCACAAAGTTGCAACAAGACGACCAGTGAGACGTGTGCGTAGTATATATATGTCAAATATGGAGCCACTGGGAATGACGGAATCCAGACACAAAGTCCTTACAGTGAATTGCTGCACTCAGATTGAGCATGCTTTGGTCAGTGACGAGTTTGTTGCAAAGCAAGCTACCGAACGAGTTCAAGCGTAACTGACTTTTTCGTGCTCAACGTAATATCATTTATTGAGAGCATCTACGGTTCATTTTAGCGTACGCATGTTCCAACATGCTTCGAACCACATGCACATGTACGTGAGTATGCCATTTTTACCCATTTGTCGGTATTCTGCCCGCTGCAAACGCTATCAACACGTTTGCTGGATATCAGCACGATACACCGGTTCCAGTAGCGGCTTTCTTCGCTTAGTCAGCACTTGTTTTACTTCAATGTACAGGTTGAAGCAAGGCGATACACAGTCTAGACACCACCTTCTTGTGCTGCAGTGCTTCACATTTATGTGTGTGGAAGTCATTACACAAACGACCTTGTCGGTCGTTTTCGGAAAAGCTGTAATGGATTGTAGCAGCACACCATGAAATCGTCTGACACAGGAGCATCGATCAAGGAAAAGCGCTTGCATGTACTGACATTTGGTCCTACCACCACAAATATACGTGGAATAGTCTTGGGAATTCTGTCGTTGTCATCAAGCACCCTGTTGAACCTTTTCCAGATGCTTGGCTTGAAGATTTTCGAATTGCTAACAGTTATGCTGATGAATGCCAGAATCGATTCCTTCACATTGCTTCCTCTTAGCACGGCGTCACACATGACTACCGCGTCGACTAAAGGAAAGTCCACGTCGTCGGGATGCCAATACGTTCTCGAAGAAAGTGCTGATAGGTGTTTGTAGCATTCTTCCTCCGTCGCACCCCCACATTTGACATATCGACCACATATCGCGATACGGTCATATTTCTGGTTCGAATATGACGGGCTTGAGTTAACAATGATGTTTATCATCTGCAAAGGAGACTCGTGCGTCGACCGACGAACAGCGTCATGGAAGCATTGTTCATATATCGAGCTCCAGAACTCAGCTCTGACCTGTTGAGCAAACTGGTAGTGGTCAAGGTGTTTTTTCCAATGTATAAAACGACCTATCCGTTTCAATGCATACCCAGAATCCATCTGAGCTCTCCAGTGGCTTGATAACACATAGTGCTTCTCGTTGGATGAATCGACAACGTAGTATCGCCGAATCCGGTCGAACAACACACTAAGCTGTGGGTCAACGACTTCCGAATCAAGTGTCTGGACTTTTTTCAGAGTGCTATAAATTTCATCTACTCCACTCTTAACATACTCACGACTCTTGCAGAAATCGCGAAGACTCCCTCCACTGTAAAAGTAATGATCCTTGACGAGGTCAGCTGTGTCATAATGTTTTTCCTGAATAAGCCCCGTTGATTTTTTCCATGCATCCAAAGTCGACTGAGCATACTGAAGAAGGTCATCATACTGCCACCCTGATAGCATCAGTTCACAAGTTGAGTCATCAAAGTTCATCGTGTCATTCACTGATGCCGAAAGCAGCTGAAAGGGAAGACGACTAAATTCATGGTCAACTTCTTTGCGGGAAAAGCCGTCAAGGCATATCAAAGAGTCCTGGAATTCCTTGTTGTCAGGAAGTGATGAAAGCTTTGCAGCGCTCAGGTTAGCTTTCCTAATACAGGCATTGTTTTCACTGTTGAGAAAAATCACAGCGTTTGCTCTGGAAAAGTTCTTCAAACGTCGAACGACTAAAACCTTTCGCTTTTCAACAAACGCCAAGTAGAAGCTCACAAGCATAAGAAAACATGATTTACCCACGCCTGCTGAGCCTGAGATCACAACTTGTGTGCCTTGCTTTAACATAACCGGCATGACCAATTTCCAAAGCATGAGCTCCTCTTTTCGTGCAAAATACGACGACGGAAATCCACCATACCCTTTGCAGCACTCGCTCAACGCCGTCGTATCCATTGGCTGGTCGGCATTCGGTATCTTTTGCCCCAACACATCAAAAAGGACCTCCAGCTCCTCTTCTAAGACTGCCATGGTCTCCACATCTTCAATCAATTCCTTTAGTCGTTTTCTCTTGCCCACGATACCCGTTTCCACCAGTATCTCCGACGTCATGGGAGGAGCAGGTACCAATACGTGCACAGCTTTCGTGTCACTGTCCTGGAAGATGTCAGCCAATGGGCTCATCGACGACAGGTGACCTCTGTCCATCAAGGGTTGAGCCATCTCCATGTTCCCGTTCTCAATATCCTTGACTTCTGTAGCTGTGAGCCACTCACCATTATCTTTCCTGGCCAGAAACAACCGTAACTCAGCCGCGTTATAATCTCCGTAAATTTCTACGGCCTCGTTCCTGATTGTTTTCTGTAGCTCCCAAACGCGGTCAGTTGCTTTGACACGTACAGGAAATGCTGTCCCAACCATTCCAATGATCAAACACCACAACTCGAGATCCTGACACTCTTTTACTTGCTCTTGATCAGGCTCTTGCACGTGCATTTCGTCGTTCAAGGGCTCCACAGTAGAATGACTACTCATGAGTCTGTCTTTGTCTGAAAAATGATTTGAGCCTTTCAAATTGTTTAACACCTGGCAAGAACAAACCTTCATGACAGTCATAGGCAAAAAAGTTCATTCTAGTACGTCTATTAAAGCTGAATCACATCAAGCGTTTACACTCCTTATGTCCACGACTATGAATATAAAGCTACGATTCGATCAAAGAAACTCAAAGCTGGTTAAGTCCCTCATCGGCACCTCAGTCTCCTCACGCTTTTCAAGGTTCTTTACCTTTACATGTTGCTTCTCAATCTCTGCTTCTCCTATTATCACAGCGTAAGTGCTACCGTAGCGCTCAGCAGCCTGCGCCAGCCGTAAATATCACAAGAAGTTAGCAGCATGTTCACGTGCACTCGTCGCTCTTTAACAACGTCGTTACCTTCATCAGCTTCTTCATATTGCTACGACCGTGGCAGAAATGGACTATCAAGCCACGATGTCGGAGCGTCTGGATATGAATCGCATCATAACATCATGCAATATCATCAACATACTGAGAAGAGCAAGACACTAGTACACCCTCATGTACCTGTGCAAGACGCAAAGCTTCGTGGAGCACCCGATTCGAATCATCGCCAGCAATAGCGGGGACGACCTAACAACGCCGACGAAAACGCATAGTGTTAACAATATCAACAAAACCACCATTATAACCACGTATCTAACGTACTGCAACGGAGACCATCTTCTTGGTCGGTATCTCACACAGCAAACTCAGTCTGTCTAACCCTGCCGCCCATCCCACGCAAGCCGTCACAGGGCCCCCTAATGACTCCGCTAGTCCATCATAACAACCACCCGCAAGGACTGCAAAACCACCTCGAGATGCTTCATCCTTGTCCAAAGCATCGGAAGATCGTCGCTCCACAAATTCAAACACGGTGTTGCTGTAGTAATCCTAGCAGACATTCCAATTGGTACCAGCAACGCAAAGTGAGCTTCTTTGGTCGTTCCAAAAAGCGCAACAAGGTAAAACAAATGACATACCAGTCCTCTCACAAGGCGTGGGCTTTGTAGATAGCTAATTCCCAATGCATCCAAATCATTCAAAACGCAGCAAAAGCGCTGAAATCAATGTGAGTGTCATATACAATATACGCAGAACAATCATTCCTTCCTTACCTTTCTGGATGTATCGGAGAGAAATTCGCTAAGCTGGGGTGCGTCAGCTATAAGTTTCTGGTCAATCTCACTTTTCGAGTCCAATATTCGAAGAACGCTGCCTCGTTCAAGGCTGTCAACAATCAACAAGCTTAGCGCTAACAACGTCATCAGTAAAATTCAAATATGACAAGGCAAACGTACCGACTGACGCTATCCACTGATAAATCCTCCTTGTACTTTGAGAAAAACTCTTCGAGTGCTGCGCGATACCTCGCACGGCTGTTGCGATATAGCGGCGTAAGTCTTCGTCGTAGTCCTGAATTTCACGCTGCAAAAACCAACCTTTCGTTATCACCAAGCGAATTTAGCTCCAGCACAACTTTGTCCTTGATGCCAAGGGCACCCAATGCATCCGATGCCATGGCAATAACCTGCTCAGCATTAACTTGTGTAAGTCCGATCCTGCCATCGTATCGACACTTTGCAGAAGTAAATCAATTGCACCTCTGCATCGACCGATGGGCCCGAAGAACCCACATATTCCACACCTGCACCATCATGCACAGGTGAGCACAGGATTAGCCTTCTCATCCAGTCAACAACAAATTTCCATACCAAGTCCCATGATAATAGCTCACCAAATTGCTGAAACTCTCGATACCTTCCGCGCTGAGGACGTTCATATCTACATCCTCCAACCAAACAGACGACAGCATTTTGTTCAACAACAAGCTTCCTCCATTGATTGACCATAGCAGCATTCTCAAGCATCACCCACCGAAACATACTGCCCGAGTACGATAGCTTCTGAGGTAATGAGAAAAGAAGATTATTACTTACAAGAGCTCGCATGATACCTACAAAACACACTTAGTCATGACCTACTTCCACACCAGTTAAACAGTCGCAAAGCGTCAAACAATCATACCAGCAGTGCCCTCGGGTCTCAACGTCACGCTTTTTCCCGAATTGTCCTTGAACGTGTACATCTCCTGCAAATTGTCCAGTCAATATTGTCCATGTGTCATTCACGCCTCAATCTCTCTCTCTCGCGACGCACACACCTTCATAACAATATCGGAGCCATCACCCAATGATCGAGAGAATAAATCCGTATACTCCAATACTGGAGTCTGGATCTAAGCACAACCATTGGATTAATCAGAATGGATAAACAACCACATACATCCATCCATACATATGCCGTACCGAGCGAAACCCAAAACGTTCGACAATTCGCTGCAGCACATCCAGCACCTCACAATGACGCTGCAATCCATCACCCAACAAATCTCTTGTGCCTCTCACGCGACTAACGGTCTTTGTCTTGGAGGTAATTGCCATCCAGCGACGTATTTTACTCGTCCGTGCGGCCGGAGCTCGTCGCAATTGTAGCATGATGGAATAATATTAACTGTCACAATCTGACATGTCATAGTTGATATTATTATTAGCTATGACAAACTTACGTTATTAGCTTTGACAAACACCGTGCTAACATATTGCAATTAGCCCAGAAGCGACGAGTAAATGAGTGAGAGTGTAAACTTCGCCATAGTGTCCATAGGAAATGACATTGATACAAAACTCGTGAATCATACACGTCGATGCAATGGACGTGAGATTTGTTCCTGTATATTACGTGTTGAGAGTGCGTATTTTCAAAAGAACTTAACAGGCAAAGCCGCTGCGAAGAAACGCCGAGTGAACGAGAGTGCAGCAGTTTCTGTTGCATTAAAGGGCACAATGCGTCGTCAACCAAGAGTGACTAATATTCAACAGCTTAGCTTTGAACTCAAGCTTCACATTACGTCTTTCCTAGCACCTCTTGCGCTCGGTAAATTAGGAATGGTGCGTGCCGTGCAAAAAAACAAGAGACCATGGAGAAGACTTGAGGCATGAGCGTTGCTGACGTGTAGTGGTGTGGCCTAATAATAACAGACGAACAAGAATATGAAGCGTGATGTAGATTTGATGGCAAAGGAAGCGACGGGAAAGTTTCTTGCTGAGGCACCACTGGATAAATTGCTGAAACAGGAGAAGCCCAAGGCGAAGGAGTCATGGCCGCAATTTATGCACAACCAAATGACATGTGTACACAAACTATTCGTCTACTATACAGGCTACAAGACAGGATTAATGAGGCAGGAGTTTCCACATTGGGCTTTTGGTATCGTCTATGTGGACCCAAATGAACCACATCGTACCATACTGCCAAATGCGTGGTCGTTCCATGGGTATAACCCATGGCTTCGGCGACGTGGCAATGGAAAAGATGGCGAGTGGCATTTGATGAAAAAGTATATGGCGAGCAAAGCGCCTCATAGCTTTTTGCTGCACGTAAAATCGTGGGCGAGCACACTACGTCCAGGATCGATGTTAGCAATTGCAGTAAGTTGCTTGTACGACGGGATGCTCTCGCTGAGGTCGAATACAGGCTGATATTGATTGATGTGGCTGTATGATCTGTTGTTGTTCATACAATTAGTATCAAAATGCTGGATCGTTAAAGCCGACGTGGTGGGAGGCGCAAGCTTGGTATGTATGGCGTGGTGATGGCAAGCAAGGTAAGAGATCTTAAACTGAACAACCAGAAGACAATTGATCCTCTTGAATTTGATGGATGTCATAGATCCTGCCGTTGTATATGATTCTGAGACGGAAACTCGTATACATGTGCACCCAGACGATTTGCTTGAGCACTTTAGGGTGAGTTCCTATGTGATTATTACAAATTGGGTCGTGAATGCTAAGATGATCTGTGTTTTTGTTGAGTAGGCACATCCATTGCATGTTGTTGACGTGTCAACGAAGCCTGGAGCATTATGCCAACGATGTGCTAGCCAGAACCGGACGTTCAAATACTGTCATTTAGACAGGGGACATCTAATGTTATAGCGCAGACCATGGTGCCCAGTCTGAACATGTTGTTTCGACCTAACGTCAGACGCTCAATTGATTCACGACTTCATGTGTCAACCTCATAACTTGTTTTTATTCATTATGCCATAGACTAATAAGTAAAAGCAAAAAGCTGCATCGACGAGTAGCTGCCAACTACACTGCAATGACGGCTTGTGTGCGAGATCCTGTAAGCTTTGACAGACCAGTGTTGAACAGACTCTTTTTCTCATTGGCATTCCCACGTCGGAAGCGAAGGACAAGCGGCCGTTTTGTTTCGTTCAGTGCCCACAGCGTGTGCTTGAGACCAGCATGCTCAATATTAGCATTGCCGATTGCAACAAGGCAATCACCCGGGTTCACTGCTGCCGTTTGGCCCTGGCTTCGTCGCACAATAAGACGCGGAGATCGTTTCAAGCTATCAATCTTTGGTGCCTACACAAACATAACAAAAGCCAAGTCAGAGATACATTAACTCCTGAGGTTTTTCTACAAGCAATAACCACAAAACCGTACCAACTGGAGACCAAGTGGACCCTCGTGACAAATACAAATTTCGTATTCATTTGCCTTAGCCGTTCTCAGCGTCGAAACACTGACAACACCCATAGCCACGATCTTGTACACACCAGTAATGCTCGTCATCGCTGGGTGCTCAGCAACGTCCTGCGTTGTAATTGTTTCATCAGCTATATCAGCTGTATCAGCATCTTCTTCGTCGTCTTCTTCCACTGTAGCTTCACGTTCGCTTTCGGTGATTTCTCGTGCTCGACTGTAACCACAACAAAACATAGCTAGCTATCAATATAACTGCACAAGAACGTCAGTTGCCAAGTAGTAGGTAGACGCACGTTGTCGATCCTCTTCGAGCCACGCTGGCAGTGTTGTTCGATTCGGGTGCTGGTCTAAACAGATAACGTCACAGTGCTTATTAGTACTGAAACTACTCAGGATATCAGATTGTATTCTCTCTTCACCTGGCTGAACTCGATAATTTCTTCGACTTCTTAGACGATCGAGAGCTCTTGAGCTCCCTTAGTACCAATTTATTCACGCTCCCCATCGACATCGTGGTTCCCGTGTCTAGGTTTCTGACGCACAAGTTGCTTTCAGCAAGCAAGGTTTGTAGCTGAATATGTGTAGGCTCATATTTTTCGTACACAATACGATACAGAGACGGACGATCAAGCGCCTCGACATCTAACGTAATCGTGCCCACATCGCCAGGCGGAATACTGAACGTCTTGGATACTTGCAGCCACAGGGCCACATCCGAATTCATGTCCACCACGCGAATACGGTCCAGAGGGCTGTGACCAACAGGGGCTTGAAACGTGATCTTCAGAGGCTTGCCAAGATCGCAGTTCTGTAACAAATGAAGCAAAACGTGTACTTAGGTTTCGATTAACTTTTATCCAACTCAGTCAATAGCCCCCTGCTTACAGATTTACACTTTATACTGTAGTTAGACTTCTCAGCCTGACGACGAAAGTATGCCCAGGCAGTACAAACATTTTGCTCGTGCTGTAGCTGTTCCGTGTGTTGCAGCAGACTTTTTGCACGGGCCACTTTAGGAATGTTAAAATCTTCAGGGCCATAGCCGTATGGATTGAACTCGACGCGAGCACCGCGACGAATGAGCTCTGCCGCTACATCACTAGCTCCACTTGCACTAAATAAAAGCCAATGCCCATAGATAGTCAGTTTTGCATACTTAAAATTGTATAAGGGCTACAAACGTACCATGCGTAGTGCAGACAGCTCCAACCAAGCTGATCCTTGTGATTCATATCACATCCAGCGTCTAGCAGAATAATTGCAATATGTAATCGAGCATCTGTGTCGCACTTGGACGCCAGCATTACAAGATTGCGCTGACGACTGTCCAGATAGTGCACTTGTACTCCACGCTCAATCGCAACCTTGACACCTTCCACCGATCCAATGCGGATTGCGTGCAAAAGCGTTTGAAGTAACGCCACCTTCATAAGGCGTGTAATCTGTGTGTTGGACTCCATAGCTCGCACACGCCAACTCTTGGACGCCAACGGGACAAATGGACGTCGTGAAATAGATCGTGACTCTGCACTCCTCACAGTAACAGGACGTGCCAATGAGTCGTGCTGTTGCTCCTTCTTTTCCTCTTTTGACTCAACCTCCTCAATCTCCTCTATACACTCAATCTTCTCGTTCTTTCCCTCCTCACCCGTCGTTTTTTCCTCTTCACCCAAACTTTCTGTTGTCTCACTAGCTTCCGTCACCTCAGTCTCAATTTCCACACAGTCTTCAATCTCAATCGAACCACAAGAACCTTGCTCGTCCCCGTTCACAACGTTTTCTTCTTCCTGTTCAATGGCCGAATCGTATGCGTTTGTCGACGAAACGTCACTCACACATCGACAGTTCGGGACAAGGTCTAGACTCGACCCATCAGATGTCGTACTTGCGACGGGCACTATCGTCTCTAACGGAGATGACGACATTGGGGCGTCGTCACTCATAGAGAAAGGAAACAAGGAAGAAGACGGACTGACCTCGTGCGATCTCCACAACCAAAATGCACCTCGCTAGACGGGAGCAACGCGAGTAAAAATTTCAACGGTTTTTTCCAGCCAAGAAATGGAGTCAGACAATTTGGTGCCCCAGATGGCAGATAAAAACTAACATGAAGAATAGAAATCTAAACACGTTTTGCATTGAAAATGTATCAAAATGGGGGGACCTGAGATAAAACATTAATTCATAAAAGATGTGGCTTACGGATGAAGCGAGCGAAAGAGCCGATCGAAAGGATCCGTGTATAAAATGAAAGCTTTCAGCAGGAACGGTGTGCCAATCCTTGCAATAGTTAATCGTACATATGACTACTATGATTGTACTCTATCGGCACGTGTTTTTTATTTCTTATTACTAATTGGACAGACGGCTTTCTAAACCGTTACGTAGCTAGATCTATCTGCACGTTTACAACTTGATTTGCATTTGCTTCTAGAAGTTGCTGCTGTGTCTATCGAGCAATACGGATCTGCAGGATCAGATCAGTCCAAATGATACTGCCTACTATCACGTGATGCGCATTCTATTCATTAATTCAAAAGACAGCTGGTAGGTGGTACATTTGAAACTACTCTGCTTCAAGAAGTATGTAAAATGTAGCCATCTGTACGGTTTGAGTTTGCAAAAACCGATCGAGAGAAAAACCGGTTTCCATGGTACAAAAAACCGGTTCATATCTATCATGTCCTGCCATTCATCATCACAAGCTAATGACGTTCACCAATAAGTTGGAATTCTTAGGTCCAGTGACGCTTCTTACGTTCTCATTAGATGAGTCATTGCTATATGTAGGTGTAGGATCAACCATCTTTCTCTATGCAATTGCAACGGGAAAACTACTGAATGAACACATTGTCTTGACGCGTGGTATTCTACACGGCTGTGACATCATGAGACGTCCTGACGTAGCTACGAATTGTTTTGCAGGCGTTTTCTTTGGCCAAAAGCACGTGTCTTGCTTTTATGACTTGCCGCAAACTCCTGAAGCGGCTCAAAAGACTGAAAAGCTCATGACATTGGGCAAACCAAAAGTATTTTGTGATTGGGTATTTGATGCGCATTTGCTCATGGAGGACGTTGCGTCAAGAACAAAGGAAAACAATCTACTGGTTGCAGTCGGACTTGCACACAATTTTGTGCAAATATGGGATCCCGCGAGTAATAGCATGTTACGTACCGTACAGTGTGCTGAACGGTGCATTTTGTATGCATTAGCTTTTCACGGACGATCGTTAGATGAGTTAGTGGTCGCTTCTGGAACAGTATTTCAACAGATTTTGTTGTGGAATCCGATGGGAAATGCATTCAAAAACGCCAAAGTTACTGTTGAACCGGCGCAACGACTGCATGCTCACGATGGCGTGCTTTTCAAGCTGGCATGGTCATCTGATGCGCGCTCGTTGGCCTCCGTCTCGGACGATCGCACCGTGCAGTTGTGGTCAAATAATGGAAACTTAAAGGAATCGCAGTTACATTTGCCGAGAACACGAACCCGAGACGAACTGTTTCAGTGTGGGTACTCTCCAGTGTTCCGAGCTTGGGGTCACTCGGCGCGTATTTGGGATGTATCTTTCTGGGAACGTGGTGTCGTAACAGCGAGCGAAGATGGTCTTTCCAAGCTTTGGGATCTCAATGGCAACTGTTTAGCTACGTTGCAGGGACATATGGGCAGGAACGTGTGGCGTGTTGCTGTTCTTCCGTTGCAAAACATAATTGCCACGGGAGGCGGTGATGGCGCTGTAAAACTCTGGGATGTTACACGCCAGCTCATGTCTTCATCCGATCGGCCGGGGTCAAGTGATTCGTGCAAAACTATTTGTATTCCTGTTACGACAACATCTGCTGCGTTGGAGAAGGAGAAGAAGATTGGTACATCATCTCATAGCGTGCGAAACATCGTACTCAGTACTCTGGACTGCGGCAAGACGGCATTTGTGGCGTCCGAGCACGGCGAGATATTTCATCTGGACCTGCTGGGACTCACAGCAGAACATGTATCTATCATATCTCCGACCGACGGCAACCTTGTTAAAGATCGGACCGGTGGACTTTCAACATTTGCAATTGATTCTTCTGGACGCTTCTTGTTACTTGGTGAAGTATCGGGCCGCGTGTGTCTCGTTAATGCATCTACAGGAATTTTGTTGTACTCGTGGACTACCCAGACTAATGTTCGCGTTATGAAAGTATGGTGGGACCAGGAAGATGCTATTTTTGTTAGTAGTGCCAACGGCGTTCTCACTGAGTGGAGATCCACTGTTCGAGGAGCGTGCGACAGCTTAACACCACTATCCATCGCAATACATCTTGTGGCGACATTCCAGATCCTAGCCAAGAGCTCGATCTCATCGATTTTGGTTGTAGATCGATCACCTAAGGTCAAGAACATTGTGGGAGGCGACGGACATGGCAACTTGTACATCTTCCATCGCTCATCTGCTTTAGAGGGAGGCGGTTGCGAAGTTGATATGGTGCGACCTCCTGATTACGTGCTTAAAGGCGTCCATGGACGTGAATTGGTGGCAACACTATTACTTGGCGATGTTCAAGACTGCCATATTGCTATGCTTTCGGGAGGTCACGATGGGTACATTTGCTCATATGCACTGAAAGAAGATACGAGTGGAGCACTGACAGCTACACAGTTAGGCCGTAAATCCATTCGAGGAATCTCTACCGTCAAGCAGCTTCAGTGGAGACAACAGGCATCTTTTGACGGCAAGACAAAGAATGATCTCATGGTATTTGGCTTCCACGCATCGTACGCTGTTTTGTACAACATGTCTGCGCAGTATCGTGTCTTCAAGGTGGAATGCGGTGGCTGGCGCCGCCCCCATGCGCTTTGTATCGGTAGTAATGGGGCCATGCCGGCCATTCCCTCTCATACGTTTGTGTTTACTCCTCCAACGCAAAAGCAATACGTCGAAATCAAAGTGCATTCGACATGTACTCTTTCGACCGATGATGAATCGACCAAGACTTCTTTAGTCTTCTCCAGATGCTCTCTGCACGACCACTACCATGGGCGCATGACGACTTGTGTGGCTTTTTCTTGGAAGTGATCGCTTGATTACTGCAGCAGAGGACAACAGTCTTATGCTGCATCGTCGCCGTACACAATGCGATCAAGGGAAAAGCAAAATTTTGCGCTGGGGCAGCGTGGCTTCAGGAGTTGCCCATACGACTACCGTTCGAGCTCTCGCGACATTCAGACGCATTAATTCTGATGGTGTTGAGGAATACACCGTGCTCTCAGGGGGCGGAAAGCAGCGCCTAAATGTGTGGCGACTTTCTGGCGAATATGATGTCCTCCGTCATGTTTGCGGCCAGGAACGTGCGGAAGCAGCTCAGGACCATCGTATCCTTGGCCTTGCGACGCTTACGATTCCGTATGTCTCGGATACTTATCGACTTGTGACTGCTTGCAACTCCGAAGGCTCCACTCAATTACTACTGCTGGATGTGGACAACGGTAGGCTCTTTGAGCTTGGCGAATGCCGTTCGGCCTCGAGAAAACCAATTCTGTCATGCATAGGTTTTCAGGAAGGTGACGCGGAGGCAATGGTTGCCGGACTAGCACTTGGCTCCACTGATGGTTTGGTGACATTGTGGGACCTAAGCTTGCTGCTGAAAGAAATTGGATCGTTTGTTCAGTCCTATGATGACCTAGGACTGCTCAAGGAAAAGCTGTTGCGGCTGATCAGTGATTTACAGCCATGTGGGAGCTACTTGGCACACGATATGGGCACTAACTGCATCGATCTTGTCTCTTGTGTGAAAAGTACGGAAGGAGGTAGTCTTGATGTAACAATCGTCAGCGGAGGAGATGACCAGAATTTGAATCTGCATGAGCTACGCTTCCCATCATGCCAAACACTTTTTAAATCCTGGACAGTAAATGCCAGTGGTTCAGCTATTAAGACGCTTGCATGTGTGAATTCCCAACATATTTTTGTGGCCGGCTACGACCAACGCGTGAGCAAATGGAGTATTCAGCGCAACGAGAATGGCTATATGCTAGAGTGGCAAGGTGCTATATTCTCGGAATGCGCTGACATTGCCGACCTCGCAATTCGAGAAAGTTTAGATGGAACAGCTGACGAAATTGTTGTCGTTGGTCAAGGCCTGCAGATGATGCGGTTCCAGCGCAGTATTTCAACAAATATCACGCCACCTTCTGAAGGAGCGTCGGTGCAACAAGAATAAACGAGTGAATAGAAATTTCATGCATTTTTCTGAAGTTTTGTTCCTAAGAAATATCCACATCGCCAGCTTGGGAAGAATGGACTACACACACGCAGAAGTATTCCTTTGAAGGAGTGCTCTGCGCTCATCAGTATTTCTCCACTCACTCACACGACTTCATCGTGCCATTGACAGACAACGCTTGAAAATCGAAGGATGTAATGAAACAGCGCAGTATCTGGCATGAGCGTGTGCAAAAAGCCAGCAGCCCACGACAGCATCAACAAAAACAACTTCATCCATATCCAATTCCCACATGCCAATAACACATGCAGCCTATTGGCCAAATGTGTTTTCGCCACTGTAGGTAATGTAGAGAAAGCCGTCTACATCTTTCTGTTCTTCGTAAATGTTCGACATCAAAGCAGCTGAGCAACACATAGGCACACAAAACCACTTGTAAACTACACGTTATATACATACAATTACAGTCTTTCAACACGTACCAGTAGGTGGAAGCACATTGTTAATGAAGATAAAAATGGCCTTTTCGGGACTCAGCTTAATGCGCTTCCGAATCACGTACACAAATTGACCGACTGTCAAATCAGCCGGCACAAGGTACTTCTTCTTGTCAATATCCGGAATATCACTGCGGTCCGCTTTTTCACAAATCACCTATTACACAATACACAAGAAATATACCAGTAAGTTATATAACAAGACACTTAGCTCTACATATTGTGGCAGCTACACACAGGAATTCGGTCAGGGTACTTGGATCGAATACGTTGAGCTTCAGCCTGGCGTTTCTCTGGAAACAATCAACACACCGACATTACCACACGTCGTCAGTCTTTATCCCCGTCACTAGAAGAACAAACGATCAAAAAAAAGAACAAATAAACACACACCAAATGAATGTTCCTTCTTGAAAGAGCTCATGATTGAAACTCAATAAACTGGCAATGTGTTTGTCTCTACGAGGTGTCTTTTTTTTCTCAATTAGTGATTACGTCTGCATTACGTAGACACAGCACCACATTAATTAGTTTTCTTTCAATGCATAAGGTCACTCTAATATTATTATTATTATTATTAGCACATGCAGAAGAGAGCGAGAGGTGCAGCGTAGTGTGAATAACAAACGAACGCCAGTACGAGATAGAGCCTGAAATCTACTTGCCTTTGACGTTTCTTCTCCACTTTCTTTGTGTTAGGGGAGACCTACTGGCGGAGCAAAAAGCCATGGCGATAACACAACCCTAGACCGAAATAACACTAATTGACTAAATATAAGCTGGTAAATCCTGGTTCATATGTTTGATCTTGTAAGGATTTAAAACGTTCGAGAACGATAGGTAATTCCTTGTCAAATCCCATAAATTAGGCAAGAGACCATCATTCATGTTGAACCAAGATCTCGAAATATTGTAGGATATAACATAATTCAGTAGGTGTTTTCTTTCCTACGTCTTTACAATTTGTATTATTACTGTTAAAAAACAAGATAATGGCTTTCATAATACTAGGTCATGTTTGTTGTCCCATTGACGGATCAAATTAAATGCTTTTGTCTGTCACAAACACTTAACAAGGCTCTGTCTTATTGCTAGCAAACAACGTCTACACTCGCCGTCAAATGCATATACATAACACTGAGAGACCAGTATAATTGCGTAGAGTACATTGAGCTGCTATTTAGACAATGTATCAGTGGTAATTGGATAAAATATAGTTTAATTCTGACATTAATCAATGACCAATCACAAACCTCCAACTGGTCTCAAACCCTCTAAAGGACTTTTTGACCAATCATTAACAACCCCACAGTCCGTTTCCCCCGGATTTCTTCTCTTTCTCTAGCACACACAACCCAAAGAACGCTCAGAACGCGCCAACCGTTTCCTTTTTATTCTTTTCTGTGTAAGTGGGTTGTGTATACAATGATGTCATCAGCATTGTTTACTCTATACAGTACATCTCTTTCGTCTTCTTCTTCTTGCTATTCCCTCATTATGGTCATTGTGGCTACAATAAACATTGTTTGATCTTATGTTGGATATTGGAATTGCGAGAAGAGGAAACACATGCGACTATTATCGTTTACTATAAGAATCTCATATTGTAACGGAATTGTTTTGTGTATCTATTTATATTCAGATCAACTAAGTGCCTTCACTGTCCACTTTCTCTCTCTCTCTCTCTCCAGAAACGTCCAAGATGAACCCAGAATAGTACGTGCAGACTCGAGTGATCGATGGCTGATATGTTATTGTCGATATGAATTAGCTGACAATCTGTATATGGAAATGTAGTGACTATTTGTTTAAGCTTTTGCTCATTGGTGACTCGGGTGTCGGCAAGTCGTGTCTATTGCTTCGTTTTGCTGATGACACATACACTGAGAGTTATATTTCGACCATTGGCGTTGACTTTGTAAGTATTATGGACTTTGCTGTACTCGTTTAACTGATCTTGAGGTGGCTTAGTGAGAAGGAAATGGCTGATGGTGGTAATCATTTGTGGGGCTTTGACTAGAAAATTCGCACCATCGAGCTCGACGGCAAGACTATCAAACTCCAGATTGTATGATTTGTAACATTGTGCGGCCTATTTGTATGATTTTTTTGATCTAATGGTGTGTTTTTATCGGTAGTGGGACACAGCTGGACAGGAACGCTTCCGTACGATCACTAGCAGTTACTACCGCGGTGCCCACGGCATTATCGTGGTATACGATGTGACGGACCAGGAGTCATTCAACAATGTGAAGCAGTGGCTGCATGAGATCGATAGGTGCTTTAAGAGGTCATGTGCTGTGTACGAGACGAGTGGACGCTGACTATATTTTGCCATGGTTACAGATACGCGTGTGAGAATGTAAACAAGCTGCTTGTGGGCAACAAGTGCGATCTAACTGCCAAACGTGTGGTGAGCACGGATGCGGCTAAGGAGTTTGCTGAGAGTTTGGGCATTGAGTTTCTCGAGACCAGTGCGAAGAACGCTGCGAATGTTGAGAAGGCCTTCATGATGATGGCTGCTCAGATCAAGAAACGTATGGCCAACGCCCCGGTGGCTCCCAAGGCTGGAGTGAAGCTGACACCCGGCCAGCAGGTCCCTTCCAACGGCGGATCGAAGTGCTGTTAAGCATTTTTGATGAGTCCTGTTTGCCTCGCGTCGCGCAGTAGTTGGTTTATCTATAGTTAAGCTTTGAAATCTTGTGAACGAGATATGCAACAAGATACAAGAGTGGCAAAAACGTTCAAAACAAGATAAGGATAAATAAGGCTAAAGTGCGACGCGGGAAAATGACATTAGGAGGATTGTTGGCGTTTGTGAAGGATTAGCAGGTTCGCTTCTCAGGTCGACTCTGCGCTGTATGTCTGCATTCTGGTCTTGGCTGCAAGGAGCGACAACAAGTACTACTCTGGTTAGTTGTGACCTTATACATGGTATACTCATTCTCTTTCTACAAGCGGTGTTTATTTGCTCTGTTCACGTGCATTATTAGTGTTTGCCTCGTGAGCTGTTGACTCTTCTTTGATGAAGCAGCTAGCGAGTATCCAGGAAGGAGCAAGCCTGCGTCTGGTAGTCCTTGTACACGAGATAGTCGAACTCAGGTTGGCGCGTTTTGTGCTTAATCGACTGCAGAATCCACTCTGCACCAATGCAATCAAGATGCGAAATAAAGCATTACGCATCGAAGGAACGTACCTGGGCTGACAAACTTGAACTTGCTGGCGCTCTGGACAATCAAAAAGGGAGCTCATTAGGTCAACAACATTTTGCACTGATGTGAGCTGAAGCATACATACTCTTAGCACTTTATCCGCCTTGGAATTGCTCAAATTCAAACCGACCATGTGCGTAATGCGTGTCGCCATGGATGACCTGGATATTATGCAAACCAGACGATTAGATGATGTTTTGCATGTGAAACCAAATTGCACCTACACGACGTTGCCACCATGCTCCTGCACCAATTTTGCCAAATAGTACCTACAAGCAGAAATAAGGGAGAGATATGAAGATAGAAATGGATACACGAGTCTCTCTACACGTTAATACGAAGATACTTTGCCCGTGCGCCCATTAAACACAATCCGGCATCCCTACCAACAGTGATGATCAAACTCAGTTCAATTGCAACACTAACACAACACATCTCAACAAAACAAACAGCGTACTTTGAATATATCCAACCTTCCTTCAGACTTGGCTACTTTTTCTGTCTCTGTTCCATACGAGCAGACAGGTCAATGCTAACTTTGCACGTGCCCGTCTTTGCAAACCTTTGTACATTAAGCACTTACCACGTTTGCTATGGGTAGATCGCGCACGCTTCTCCCGAAAAAAGTGCGTTTGCGCTTTATCTGCACAGCGTTTCGTAGTTTCATTCTCTTTGTTCCTTTGCCGGTCGCTCATTACGCGTCGCTCATGGCGTGACGATGGCCCAGTAGGTCCATTTACAGCAAACATTGCTAAGACAGATTATAACCCGGAACTATCACAAAGAATAAGGCTTTTATTCGACAAAGAGAGTAAAAAGCCTCATAATTCATTGAAAGCACCTAATCAGAAAAACTTTCTCAGGTTATTGTTTTCTTCAAGTACTGATCGTTGACCAGTGGTAATAGCATACAATACCGATGTAGTTCTCCGTACTATTTTGTCAAGAGCTGTGGAGTTGGAGCAGTGTATAGGCTTACAATACCAAATGATCTGCTTCATGTCGTTTCCATGCTACTTTATAGCAATGGGCAGATGAGGTATGGAGAACATATCATGATCGTGACGATATTGTAATATTTACAGATATGCATGTGTTGCAATTAGGATACTATATGATTTTTACTACAATCACAACACAAGTAAGTTACATAGATCAGCTTTGTACCAATTTATTTCTTAAATAAAAGTTCCAAAAACATCCAAAAGCAAGATAAAATGTTTGCCTAAACATTTCGGGTCTTCAAAGAAAACGCTTTTATTAGACTTATAAAAGAATCTTATCAGCTATGATTCAGTATTTCATAAAAATTGTTTTATGACTACCACAAAAGCAATAACTCAAACCAGATTGGCAGGCAGCATGCACGGCACGGCGACGGATGGACCTCACTTTACTGCGCAGTATGAACAATCTCATTCCTTTCAGCACCAACACACACGACAAGCACCTTTGACAAGCATTGACACTGAGCATAATGACTTGATCTACGATATTCAGCTGAATTACTATGGGAAGCGTCTAGTTACGTGCTCATCCGATAGAACATTCCGAGTGTACGACGTGTCCATGGCAATTGCAGGTGGTGGACGCGATAACAATCATTCTGCAATGAAGGAAGATCAAAAGAATCAAAATAAGCAGCAGCTGTATAGTCTGCAACACGTAGTACCTCTGCCCGAGGACTCGGCTGCTCCAATCTACCGTGTGGCATGGGCACACCCAAAATTCGGTGCCATGTTGGCTCTGGCTGCTCAAGATGGCAAGGTGTACATTTATCGGGAGGAAAAAGTGCAGCAGGGTACTGAGAAAGCTGGTAATGTGACCGAGTGGCGTCTGAAACACGTGCATGAATTTCACTCGCTAGCAGTGCTAAGTGTAGCCTGGGCACCGTACGAGTATGGACTGTGTTTAGCTAGTGCGTCAGCTGACGGCCAGGTGTCGTTTCTTACCCGTGTGCGTGAGGGATGGGTAGTTTCGTCAAGTTTTCGCAACTCAGAGGAAGGCATGGGCTGCACAGCGGTTAGCTGGGCACCGTACAACTCGTTGGGCTCACAGGGAGCTCAAGGGCCAATCCAACGTGTGGTCACCGGATCATGCAATCAGGTAGTTACTATTTGGAAACTTGCTACAATGCCACAAGAAGGTACGAACGCTGGTACCAGCTACTGGGAAATTGAAAACACTCCCTTGTATGGACACAACGACTGGGTTCGTGATGTAGCTTGGGCTCCAAACGTGGGTATCCCAGCGAATGTGATCGCGTCTGGCTCTGATGATCATACAGTGCGTGTTTGGACTCAAGATGAGGCCAATGGCGAGTGGTCGTCCCACGTGGTGCATACTTTTCATGCGCCAGTATATCGAATAAACTGGTCACAAACAGGTTCGGTGCTTAGCGTCGCTGCTGGTGAAGACGAGGCTACTTTTTGGAAGCAGCAGAAGAATCATGAATGGACGCAATTATCCTCGGTAACTGATCAAGGTGCTGCTACTGTCACGAGCAGCTAGATGCTAGATAAGTACTTTAGCAAGCAGATCACACTGCATTATAGTTTGAGTTGGTGTAGTGACTTTAATTGCACGATCGTGGTGCTCATTGCCACTGCCCCTCCATTATATATGTATCGGATTCTTGTCGTACGACGAACTTACGTGTATTACGATGTATGGTAAACACGCATAGCGTAGGACGCAACATCTAGCAGCTGAAAGTGCTCACTGGCGCCATCAACAAGTCTCTTATCGGCCTCAGCAATGCGCAGACAGATTTTAGCCTTCTGTACATCGCCAATCTTCTCTAGTGAAAGCACGTCGTCATTCAGCTGTCGCAAAATGGTTAGCACTGGGTATCCTGCCAGTAATATGCTTTCAATGTCGGTCTTCATCTTTTCAAAGCTGTTTGAAGACACAGAGACCCAAAATTGCTGCAGCAATTCAGGTGGAGCAAGTCCAGTCACCGCAATGACATCGTCTTCAGATAACTCGTCATCTCCACAGAGTTGCTTGGCACTTTGCAGGTAATTTATTGCCTTTCGCAAGTCACCATTTGAGCACTCGAGCAGCGAATCCAGTACCGAGTCTGACACCTTTACATGTTCTTCGGAGGCGATAAAGCGCACACGAGACGTCATCAAAACCTTTTCTAATGAAGCAAAGCGAAACTTTGCACATCGTGAGGCTACAGGCTCAATAATGCGACTTACATAGTTACAGATTAGACAAAATCTTGTGACCTTGGAGTAGTTCTCCATCATGCGACGCAGTGCCGACTGTGCGTCACCCGTCATCGAGTCGGCCTCATCCAGCACAATAATCTTAAATGGCGGCAAACCACTTGCAGTACTAATGGCACCTTGGGCAAAACCCTTGACCTTCTCACGCACTACCTTAATGCCACGGTCATCCGATGCATTCAACTCCAAGAAGCGGCCATTTTTACGAAAATCCGTGCCAAAAAGCTGACGCCCTACAGCCACAATAGTAGATGTCTTGCCCGTACCTGGAGGTCCATAGAATAATAAATGGGGTAGTTGACCATTTGCAATGGATGTCTTCAATGTAGCCACGACGTGTTCCTGGTGAGAAATCTCGTCCACATTTTTGGGGCGACTAGAGCCAAAAAACAGCACGTTAGTATAAGCATACTACACATGATAGCATACGATACATTCACACATACTATTTTTCAACCCAGGGAAGCGCAGGTGCTGGAACGCTGGCCTTGACCGTTGATGTGGTACTGAACATGCGCGGTAGTCTTGGAAATAGTTCACGCTTACAGCTACCCGACAATTACGGTTCAAGTTGTCTTATACGTCAAAATTTGCAATTAGAAAACACTTTAATCTAAATTAGAGTCTCTACTTTAAATTGTGGTTCGTTATATCGATCGATATTATAAAAGCAAAGCGGATAATGTTATTCGCTATAAATAATGCATATTGATGATTGGTTAATAAACAACTAGAAATATCTAGTAATCGTGCAGCCACGTAGCAAATATCTCGACAGACTATCGTGTCATATTGATCAGATGAGTGCTTCTCGTGTGGGCTTTAATTTGTTGTTATGCGTGACAATCATTCTTGTTATGCTCCAGTGTTTGTCTGTACATTGCAAGCGTTTGGATTATATTTCGTTTCAAAAACCCTTTGATGAGATTGATAGTGAAGGTCTGCGCCAGGTTGGACCCAACTTTGTGTACGGTGGTGACACGGCCGTAAATCGCCATTTTGCACGACTGACACCTGATCGTCTGAGCAAGCGTGGACATATATGGGGTAATCAGAAGCTTGCGGTCAAGGAATTTGCCGCTGTGTTTACGTTCCGTATCAGCGGTCAAGCAAAATACTGGTTTGGCGATGGCCTAGCGCTTTGGCTCACTACGAGCCAATTTGTGCAGGGCGATAATCATGGCTTTATTGGAGAATTTAAGGGCGTTGGTGTCGTGTTTGACACTTTTGTTAACGAGGAGCACAGCGGTGGCCACAAGGACGTGACGTTCTTTGAGAACGACGGCACGAAGACGTTGGACCAGCTTAATGATATGGAAAAAGTGGGCTGCATGGCCTCTGGTATTCGCTATCACGAGAAAAATGCCGCCTTCAGTCCGTCGTTCAATATGTCTCGTGCTAAAATAACGTACACACAAGCGGATCAGCAATTTTCGATCTTGATCGACGCTGATGCTTCAGGCAACTGGGTTCACTGCTATAGCCACCGTCTTACCATTGGTGATGACTGGATGAATGATGCATTATTTGGCGTCACAGCTTCGACTGGCGGTCTGGCTGATAACCACGACGTTATTGCTTTGAACGTTTACGAGTAAGTCTGGCTGCTCATTTTGCATGGGGTGATTATTATATTTACTAACCATTTTTCCTGCTACATAGCGAAGTATTTGACTCGCATGCTGCTGAGGAAGATAACAAGCAGCGCAGTGCTGTTGAGAAGAGTCTCGACACTACTCTAAATAGCGGAAACAGCGATGAGAACATCCAGGTGGTTAAGCGGAAGTACACTCGATTGCTTGAGGATTTCGAGTACCAATTGACTGCGCTGAAGGAATCTATGGAGAACACAATCCAGAAGCTGAAGGAAAGGGGTGCTGAGGATGAGAAGCGGATTATTGAGCTTGAGACTTGGGCAAATGGAAAGGTTGTTGAGCGTGTCCATAGCACTGTGACCGCGATTCGCGACCAAGTGGAAACGCAGCTGGAAGAGACTGTTAAGGAAACGGCAGCCAAATCTAGTAGCTGGAAGACGCCGTTTTTCATCGTCGTGGTCATTATTGCGGGTATTGCGGCCATCGGATACAAGAAGTACCAAGACCTTCGAAAGACCCACTTTCTCTGACCATTACGTGCGCATCAAGTAGTATTATTCCTGCTTGCTTACAGCGATGATAGGTGCCGTCTGTCATGCACGTTGAGAGAAAGAGGCGAATTACTTGCGGCCAAATGACAATTAGCGTTCGTGTTTTCTGAACCATGTCGTCTTGACTTGCCTACATGTAGATAGATCCCTTTTCTTTGACGAGCGATTCAAAAGTAAAATGCAATTTCCTTGCCATGTAGTTTAAATTCACACTGTGCAAGATAATGTACAGCATTTGATACTTTGTTTATGTCAAAATCTCATTGCGAGTATTCGTGGACACGCCAAATGTAGCACAAGTCGTTTGAAACCTTTCGCGATGGAGAAAAACACCATAATGACAGTGCAGCGCAACCACGGCTTCATGGCCATGTGTTGGGGACTTAGTGTCGTCACGATGAGCAAAAGCAGCCACAACAGAAACGCCTTCACACGCACAATTGATTCTTATCCTGAAGAACAAAGTAAGCTCTTCATGAACTGGTTTACTTGTGCCTTAAGTAGAAGCAGGACAGCAAAACATAGCGCTAGGTGGCGATGCGTGAGTGTCTACGATGCGACCCTTCGTACCTTAGGTACGGTCATATCGAACCTACAAATGTACACAAGGTACAGCCACACCACATTGGCGTGGCAGGTGTAAATGTAAAATACACACCTTTGGGTCCCCCACCAATCCGTGGGACCCCCATGATTTTCGAACTTAACGAGAGTCATCGATTTTATTTTCTTCCCATTTTGCTTGCCTCGCAATAAGTTTCTCGCACTTGCGAACAAAGCGCCAGTGTTTTTGACACTTGCTTCTTGAGCACCTGTGCTTTGAACTCATACTTTCTAAGCATCCTAATGTTACGACACTAGCCCCTTGAGCATACAGTACATTTTACTTACGCTAAAGCATTAAAGTGTTACGACACTTGCTTATAAGCGTTTAATACCTAGTACTTGGTATATACCCATTAGTATTTACGAACCCTTGCGTATACAGCATCATGTGCCTAGCACTTGCTTTAAGCATTACAGTGTTCTCAACACTTTCTTTTAAAGCATTGTCCATATTACGCTTGTTGCATCGTAGATGCTGCAATTCTTCGAGACATATTTGGGGACGATGACAGTGATGTTGCTTCTAGGGGCAGCGGCGCCGAGTCTACGTTGGGTCAAAGTACCCCAAGATGATCACGCTCACCTAGCGAGGGAAGTAGATCCCATTTGTGTCTTCTCCTACAAGAAAAACAACCGCATTACGCCAGGAAGGTCGACGAGCTGCATCGCAATCTTTGCGTACTTATGTCATTGAATCCCAGACCCGTACTGCTTGCGAGGTTGCGGATCGTGCCGCTCTTTGTAAGCGGCTCCTTAATCCCCAAGAGCTTACGATGAAATCGTATCTGGAGCGACTGTTACAACAGTCACGTGGGGTGCCAGTGCACACACTGAACGACATACCATTGATGCTTGCACCAGGCTAAACATCTGCGCAAGCTGATCACCAGTTCACCCGTTAGGTAGAACGAGCGTGTAAGCTCCCGAGTCTTTCTGACTTACGTTTAAGCGCTAAAGTGCAGACGTTTGGTTAGAAGGTCGTCTACGTTTTAACTTTGCTAAGCTCAAAGCGAAGCGCCAATCATCCTCCACATACAGGTCAAAGACTTGTGGGGATAAGCTTTTGAAGCTGTTGCCCGTATCTCGCACGCGAGTGATGTAACGGCGTTGACTTTTTTTGAAGGTCAGAGGCGAAGCCATCCTACTGACCTTGCTTTCTCTGCACCTAGTGCTAGGTAGCGTCCGACGACAGCTGTTGTCGCTTCTAACCGTCATGGTCAAAAGCGTCAACGGCGTCAGGGAAATCTTGCCGGAGGGGTACCTACTACTCCCACGACTCGTACAACTGCGGGTAACCCCACCACTTCACCAAATGTTGGGTATGAACCTGGTGACGACGCCGAGCTAAGAGACGTTCCGACATTCCACGTAGAACTGTTAATGACCCAGTTCATCAGTCAGCGTTGTCGGGGGTCGGTGACCCATTGACCTCTAATCGCTCTGAGATCGAGCGTCGCCTGAGAATCCTGGAGTGTGATACTTTTGGATCGGTGACGTTTCACCTGTCATCGCTCGATGACCGTGTCGACCGACACCGTCAATCCTTTGAGAGTATTTCTCTGAGATCTTGAATTGCTTAGCGGTGAATGAGCGTTCTCAACCGAGCTTCGGTGTCAACTTGACTCCCTGGTACGCCTCCAGCGTCCATATGCACCTCCGGCGCCATAGTATCTTCGGCCGGGGGTATAGGGACAGCCCCTTGAAGTCCACCGAGGCAGAGCTGAGATATAGCTTTAGTAAGCCCACATAGAACACAGAATGTGTTCGCATCTTCTACGGAAGGTTCAGCGTATAGGCTAAGCCTTTCTTGCTTATGATCTTGAAAGTTCCAATACAGCGTGAGCGTAGTTCGGTTTTATATTGCAGAAACGGCACGAGTAGGTAAATTCCTAGCGTCTGATAAAACTAAATCTCCCACTTGGAACTCATCTGCTTGTTCCTTCTGAGCATCTTAGATTTCAGCCATAGCGTCTTTGATGCGACTTAATACGTCAAAACGCGTTAAAAGAAACGCTTCCGCCTTCTTGCGCATCGCAACAGGGCTGATATCAGCCAAGCCTTCGGCTCTCTCCCCCCACTAAGCCCTGATATGGCAGGGGGTAGCGTCAACATAACGCGAGGGTTAACCAAGCCATTTACATAGAATGGGGTGAAGCTTATGGAGGCATGCACCGCTTTATTCAACGCAAATTCATTGAGTGGGAGCATCGCTCTCCATTGCTTTCGTGTGTCAGCACAAACGCTGTGAAGCATGTCACCATAACGCGATTTACTCGTTCCGTCTGACCATCGGTCTGCGTATGATCCGCCGTGGACATGTCCAGTCGAGCGTCCAGCACTTTAATGACTGACGTCTAAAATTTACCGGTCTCTTCAGAGACGATTGCCACAGGCAATCCGTGTTATCAAAACACACGATCCATGAACAGCTTGGCTGTTCCTTCTCCATCGATGGAGTCCGGCACTGCCGCTAAGTGAGCGATCTTGTTTAGTCGGTCAACAAAGACCAATTACAGTGTTGCCTGCCGCATCACGTGGTAGGCCAGACACGAAGTCCACACTAATGGACTGCCACAACCCCAAGGGTACAGGCAAACTCGCCAAAGGCGCAGCCATGCTAGGTGAGGGTTTCACCCGTTGACATGTTTCACACGTTCGTACATACGTCTCACCCAACTATACAGATTGAGACACCAATAATGGGTGCTCACCGAGCTGTAGGTCTTTTCACGACCTAAATGACCAAAGTGGGGTATAATGAGCCTCATAAATTAAGGTTCTCATCATGAGGCATCCCAACACGTGGCTGGTCCTCCGGCCCTGCTCCATTGTATATCATCGGTCAATGCATAGCGATTTAAAAAAAATGCACCATTAAGTGGTGATAGTTTCACCTTAGTGTGTTCAAAATCAGCGCTGACCTGTGCCTGGAGAATGGCAACACATGCCTCATCGCGTGGACTCGCTACACGGATACGATCCGTTACAGACGAACTCACAACAGCGAGATGAGCAAGCTGATAGACAGGTCTACGCGATCACGCGTCATCGAAAACATTCCGTTTTCCGGCTTACACTTTACCGCGAAGTTATACTCCGCAAAAAAGGAGAGCTAACGAGCCATTCTCTAAGAAAGATAAGGCGACTGTGTCGCCGTGCGTAACGACGCATGATCGGTATTCACCACAACGACTTTTTTAGCCCAACAGATGTACTTTGGACGTAACAAGGGCATGCTTCATAGCAGGTAGATTCTGCTCATGAGCTGGATAGTTCTTCTCCGCAGCTTTCTGCTGGCGAGAATCAAACGCTATGACGCGTTTCCGACCCTCAGCATCTACTTGTAGTAGCGCACTGCCACTAGCAAAGTCCGGAGCGTCACGCACGACGCTAAGAAGACTATGGGGATCAGGCAAAGTCAGAATTGTTGCCTGAAGGAGACTCTCCGCAATGGGTTTAAAAGACTCGTGCTGCTTGGTGTTTTAACACCATTCCACATCCTTTTAAGGAGATTCTACAATGGCCTAGCCACTTCCGCATAGTTGCGGCTGTACTTGTGCAAGTAATTTGCCAAACCCAACCACTTACGGAGGTCCTTTTCGTTCCTCGCAACCGGCCAATGCACGATGGCTTTGACCTTAACAGGGTCTGCCCGGATTCCTCGCTTCCCAATGCAGCATCCCAAAACGGGAATCTCGTCCGCACCGAAGATGCATTTGTCAATATTGACATACAGCTTATGCAACCGCATGCAACCTAGCACAGCTCGCAGGTGTTCGATGTGATTCTCCACATCAGTCTTGCCATTTTCGGCTCGACTATGGACGAATGTATCGTCAAAGTATGCCTGCCTATGGGGCCGGAAAAACTGCGTCACAGACGATTGAACGTTGTAGGTGCGTTAGACAGCCCTTGGGGCATCATTAACCACTCCCAAAGTATACTGCTCGGAGTGCTGACCGCTGTCAGCAGGATATCACTAGCTCGCATGAGCAGTTGGTAATATCCATCGACTGAGTCGAGGGAAATGTACATTGTACATCCCACCATATTTTATGAAGAACATCTTTGCAAGAAATCAGTGTTTGAGCCGGGATATTGGCTGCATTCAGCTTATTGTAAGCATGCACTATTCGCCACTTCCCTTTTTGGCTTCCTTACACAAAACGTGGGCGTAAAGTGAGGGGACTTACTCTCACGCACCCTGCTAGCCGCATGCTTCGCACGAAAGAACTCGTCAATGACGTCACATTGTTCTCGTGGCAGCGGCCACTGTCGCGTCACAAAGTAATTGGTTTCTGGAACCAAGTCAATCTCATGACGTACACCTCCATCCGGAGGCAACCTCGTAGGAGGTTCTCTGGATACAACAT